GCCTAGAAGTGGGCGCCCATCAAAACTATCACCCAGAGCCACCAGAAAAATAATAAGTCAGGTAAAGGCCAACCCACACATCACCTCTACAGAGTTGCAGACCTCTCTGGTAGCATCTGGGACAAATGTGCATGCGTCTACGATCAGACGACAATTGAATAGCCACGGCATTCATGGGAGGCTTGCTAGAAGGAAGCCTCTGCTCTCAAAAAAGAACAAAGCTGCCCGTTTCAACTTTGCCAAAGAGCACTTAGACAAACCAGAGGCCTTCTGGGAGTCCATTCTCTGGACAGATGAATCTAAAGTAGAGTTATTTGGTCACAATCAAAACCGCCATGTTTGGAGAAAAGCCAACACTGCAAATGAAGAAAAGAACCTCCTCCCTACAGTGAAGCATGGTGGTGGAAATGTGAAGATCTGGGGCTGCTTCTCTGCTTCTGGAACTGGGCGACTCCATATTATCCAAGGAACCATGAATTCTCAGGCATATCAACAAATTCTTGACCAGAATCTCCTGCCATCAGTCAAACAGTTGAAGCTGGGACGAAAATGGATTATGCAACAAGAGAATGACCCGAAGCATTCCAGCAAAACTACAAAGGAATGGCTTCAGAGAAAGAGGATTCGTACTCTGGATTGGCCCAGTCAAAGTCCAGATCTAAATCCTATTGAAATGTTGTGGCGAGACCTGAAGAAGATGGTACATGCCAGATGTCCTTCCAACCTCTCTCAACTGGCTGAGTTCTGCAAGGAGGAGTGGGCAAAAATCCCCATAAGCAGATGCAAGAGACTGGTTAGAGGTTACAGAAGATGTTTGGTTGAAGTAAAGGCTGCAAAAGGAGGAGCCACAAGCTACTAATAGAAGGGTTCACATACTTTTGCACGTTACATTTTCAGTGTTTGTGAAATAAACCACATTTGTTGAATTACATAATGGATCTCTTTTTGTGTGTGTCCAGTATTTGGAAAGTGTGCTTTACAAATTAGGATTTGGATGTCTGTTAAATAAGTCTCTTTTAATGTTTTTTACAAAAACAGTGACCATGTCTAGAAGGTTCACATACTTTCAAGCAGCACTGTAGTTCACTACAAAATTGTCGCGAGGGACACAGAATGTAGTGTACACTACATCGATCAAGCTAGACCATCATGCATTGCTGCCTGTCTCATTAAAGTGCTGCAGAAGAAGTCATCTCACTAACAGGCTAGGTGCTAACGTTAGCTGCTAGCTAATGTGATTTTATTACCTGTTGAGAGACATCTCGACGGTGCAGTGGCTTGTCTGCTCCTCTGCCTGAGCAGCAGGATTTCAAAATTCATTATTAAAACTTTTTATATTTTTAATTTTATAAACAACATAAACTGACAAAAACAGAGTGCAGATTTCTCTGTAGACACAAATTAAAACAAGCACAATACATGACAGATGTGTAACAAATTACACCTCTCATAAGATACCATGAGGAAGATATATGCCTCAAATATCCAGCACAGTCATAGAGCAAGTGGAGTCCTAAATGTATGAACTGCTGTTTCTAGTGAGTCTCTTCTATGTAGCAAACACTATAGTGGGTGAGTTAGTGAACAAGTGGACAATCCAAACACAGCCACTGTCTGTCCATCTCTGCAGGGATTCACAATTATCCTGTTCTACTCTCACTTTTTCCGGCTTCCAGCGTGTGTGTGTGTGTGTGTGTGTGTGTGTGTGTGTGTGTGTGTGTGTGTGTGTGTGTGTGTGTGTGTGTGTGTGTGTGAGTGAGTGTGTAAGTGTGTGCTACCCACCCTGTGTGTATTTTACTGTCATCCTGTGCAGTCCATGCAGCCACCGTGATGCCACTGCTTCAACTTATTTAAATTCATGTATTCTGTTCCCATAGCAACAGGGGTGAGGTGGGGGTGGATAGAGGGGTAACATGACATCACTGTGAGCAGAGAAGGTCGTCACTAATTAAAGGGCGACCGGACTGAGGGGGGTTTTTCCATCATTATTAGCCTGTTAGCTGCAGTGTCATTACTATTATTAACCCAGGTGTGTTTTCTCAATGACCCAATCCTCCGTCCTGACTGAATGGAGGGAGGGAACAAAAGTTGTCCGGCCCTGGGGGGACGCCTGCCATGGGAGAGGACCCTGTCACTCGTAGCAACAGCAACACAAACCAAAAAAAAATCATCTGGACGAAACTGGACCTCCATCACCAGAGGATGAAACTTATCATGAGAGTTCAGATTCCAACGAAGATGGAAACGGATAAGGATTCATGTTTACATGTTAAATGTTGAAACTTTGGTTGAAAAAGGTTTATTTACACCTGATCAAAAAGAGGCTGAAGTGATGTACTGCAGGTCTTCATGGGTCCACCTGGTTCCTAGTTCTGCTCTGAGGGATGGAGAGGAACTAGATCAGACTGTGTCCCGTTGTACTGTCATGCAAGAAGTTTTTTTTTTACATTTTTCCTATTGCGTTTTCACAAAGACTTTATCACACAGCCATTGATTTACAGTGTCACCTTATTGTCTGAATCAGTCAAACTTTGTTTATACAGCCAAATATCACAAATGACAAATTTGTCTCCAGGGGTTTTATAGTCTACACAGCAGCCTCTGTCCTTAGACCCAGGACTGTGGGAACAAGAGAGATACAACTGGATATTATTACCAGTGGGAACCTGTCCGTTTTTATTGGTAGCTTAGATTATTCATAAAACACAGTTACACTGTGAACTGCAGGCTGTAATAAAAAGTGTTTCCCTGTTGTTTCTGTTTACTTTCAGTTTCCTACCTGAACTCACTGTGCGCTTCCTCAAGGGCTAACACATGTGGAATGGATTTCCTTCCTCATCGAAGAAACTAGGAAGCAAATTTTTTGAATGCTTGGATCTGTGTTTCTTTTTTATGTGTCACCTCCTCCTGTAGATCAGTGAAGTCTGCAGGACTGTGGATCACATCTGTGTGAACATGCATGGGAACAAACAAAACGGGTTACCTCTTTGTTCTTTAGTGCTGCTGATAATCATTTGGCGGGAGCTTCAGACATTGTTGTGTGTACAAGTTCAAAGGTTAGGATACGCCCCCCTGAGCAGTGCTACTTCTTCAGGGCAGACAGGACGCTTCAGTGACTTCCAATCAGAAGGTGACATGACAGACTTGCCAGACTAGAGCTAGCTAGCTAGCATGCTAACTTCAATAAAAGAACAGAAGTGCTAGAAATAGAAGGAAAACAAGAGTGCTGCCTGCCACCACTGGAGACAGCTCAGCTGGACTTGCAATGTTTCCTCTAGACTGGTAAGTAAAATGCTGTTAATGCTAATGCTGGCCATGTAGTGATAGCAAAAACTGACATATAGCCCCTTTAAAACTCCACAGGAAGCTTTAAGTAATTTGAGAGAAACTGTCACATTCACTAATTTCTTTGTTTGTAGAATTTTCTCTTTGGGACAAAGAAATTTTACAGTTGTTATGAGTCATGTACAGAGTCTGTGGTTTATTTAAAATGTACTGATTGTTGTGATACAAAGCCTGGTTGCCTACCTGGCACTACTAATGTTACAATCGTGTAGATAAAGAGTTATCTGAGGCCATGGATTTAGCTGATGTTACCTTTCTGTCTAATCACCAGCCTCACACTGTACTGTGCTGCACTATACACGAGATTTTAAGAAACGCTGAAACTCGAGCTTTTTGTCCACAGAGGGAAACTTTCACTGTTTCACACCAAAACAAACTTTGAGTGTCCTTCACATCTAAACAAATGTGATGAGTGTATTTTATACTGAACATGTTTTTATTCATTTGTTTAAAAGGGAAACACAGACAGTTTTTATGATGTGTAGCTCTTGCTCCTGGATGGTGTGATTATTATTATAAATCACTTTGGACAAAAGAACCTGCCAAATGAATTAATGTAATGAATATAATGAATATAATTAATACATTTCCTTCCTCATAAAACATCATTGTTTACATCAGCCAGCGGTTTTCCTCATCTTAGCCTTTGCTACACGTTGCTACTTGGCACATTATTGTTGCTGTCACATTAAAGAAGGTGGGAGTGTTTATTGTGCTGCTGAAATGCTTGTGCACGTGTGACCTTGTGCACAAGCCACAAAACAGGAAACTTGTCCACAAAGCATCACTATTTAATAAACCATAAAACCAAAGAGGAGCTTTGAGGTGAGTGACTGGTGCATCAGTAGTTATCAATCACCTGTTTATTAGATGAGATCAATAATTATTTTCCACTACATCTTCATTCAGGTTTACTTTTTACCCATCATTCAGTTTGTCATTCAGACACATCTTTCACCATTTACTCCCTCTGATTCCTCAGGGTGACAGCATTGGTTACTGACGTTATGTATCTGTGTCAGTGTGAGCAACAAGTTCTTCACATTAATTAAAAAATATGTAATAACCTTAACTGTCCTCCTGTTTCCTGATCTGATCCTAAGCAGGACAGCACCACCTCTTCAAAAACGTGACTTGACTTCGCCGTGGTCGAGATGTGATGAGGGTTGGGGTTGGGGATGAGGTTAACACTTAGAGATCCTTCGTCATCATCTTCAGATATTGTTGTTGTCGGGAGTTTGAAATGACTGACACTGTCATTTCTCTCAGGACAGTTGAGATTTAAGAGTTAACTCATCCACACACTCTTCTGTTCCTAGTACTCTGCTACTAGGGGACAGCAGAGGCAGTGAGACACCTTGACAGTCCAGGATTCTGAGAGCAAGACATCACAGATATGAATGTGTTTATTTTAAGAGTGAGCTGCAGGAGGAAAGGAAGCAAGGTGTGGTGGGGAGGTGTGATTGCTCCCAGGAGCTTTCATTAGCAGGTAATGGACCTGATGACGAAATGTCAGACACACACAGTGGAAAAGAAGCACAGGAAGTGATGTCACAGGAGCGGAGGCTGCTGATTGGACAGGAGATTCCCGGGCAGCTGCTATAAAACCTGATGTGAAGCCACAACAAGACACAGAAACAGAGAGAAGAGACAACGCAGCAGGACAGACACACACTCCTCCTCCTCCTCCTCCTCACAGACACTCAGCTCCCCACTGAAGGTACAGTGTGTGTGTGTGTGTGTGTGGGTGGGTGGGTGGGTGTGTGTGGGTGTGCGGGTGTATGTGGGGATGCAGGTGTGCACAGGTTAACACTCCTGCAGGTTTTCCAACTTTGACACACTACACATCCAGTGCAGATTTAAACCTTTTGCATGATATCAACTAATAGTTTTTATTAATGAACTTGTTATTTAATGACATGAGTTTTTGACTGTGACTGTTACTTCAGCTGCTCTTTTCATGTATATTTAGTTTTCATGTCAATTTCCTGTCAAACAAAACCAAGAAGCAAAAGTTAATTAATGTCAGCGGTGCAGAAACTGTGTTTTCTTTTCTGGCTGCTGATGGTCTGGCGCATTAAGTTGTTGTTGTTTTACACTGGTATTATTTATCTTTGTGGTTGCAGAGTTCTTGGGTTGTTTTAAGGAGATGTTTAAGCTGTTTCTAATATGTAATATTTTATCTGATGATTTTACAATTCATTTTCTCTTCAAATCTGATTTAATTCATGACATATTTTGTATTCTCTGTTGTATGTTGTGGAACAAATGTTGTTATTGCTGCCTGTCTTAACTAGGACACTCTTGAAAAAGAGCTCTCTCATCTCTATGAGGCTTTAGATTGAAATCTTGAACAGGTGAACGTGGTTTAATTCCCTGTTTAATTTAATTTCCTTCTGGCTGGAAAATCTCCAAACATGAAGGTTATAACAGAAAATCAAATGCTACTGGAGCTGAGTGTAATGAGTCCAGGTGTTTTCTACTGGATCGGATCTGTGATGTTCAGTCTGCTGCTGGCCTGCAGTGAGGAAACAGGGTATTTTTGTGAATGGAAGAATTTGCAGAGTGTGTGTGTGTGTGTTGTGTGTGTGTGTGTGTGTGTGTGTGTGTGTGTGTGTGTGTGTGTGTGTGTGTGTGTGTGTGTGTGTGTGTGTATGGGTATGTGTGTGTGTGTGTGTGTTTGCGTCTTTGCATGTGTATGAATGAGAGCTGCAGCATGTCAGCATCAGCAGTGGTGTGAATGAGAGAAGTTCATTGTGTGTGTGGGTGTGTGTGTGTGTGTGTGTGTGTGTGTGTGTGTGTGTGTGTGTGTGTGTGTGTGTGTGTGTGTGTGTGTGTGTGTGTGTGTGTGGAATTCAGTGCCATGCACGGCAGCGAGTGACGGTGCATGTGACGGTCAAAAGGCATTTATTTGCAGGGATGGAAAATGCTAAAATTAGCCGATGTTGCTGGACAATACACTTCAGCCGTCAGCAGAGCTAAAACTGTCCTGCTGTGTGTGTGTGTGTGTGTGTGTGTGTGTGTGTGTGTGTGTGTGTGTGTGTGTGTGTGTGTGTGTGTGTGTGGGAGAAGACTTTAAAACTTAAGAAAACTTCGGTCAACACCTGTGTCTCTGATTCCAGACTCCATACTGATTCTCAGCAGGTTTTGAGTCTGTCATGTTCACACAGGAAAAGTGATAGATAATGAGTCAGTATGCAGATATTTGATGTAAACCATTATCCCTCTGTGCAATGTACGAAGGAAATGGAAGTTCTCCTCACTGAAGCAAAAAATCAAAATAAAATTGTGGGTGGTGGGTGGATGGAGAGATGGAAAACAAAAAATCATCATCTTCAGAAAAACATTTTGTCAGCTGTAATCACATCAGCTCACAATTTGATCGACATCCAAAGGAACACATTCAATCAGCTGTTAGAATAAAACAGAAAAGTTGCTGAGTTTTGTACACTAATACAACAACTGTGACAATTAGTACAGTACAGATAATGCATAGAGTTAGTGTGCATGGTGTTGAGACACAGCTCATGTGTTGTCTGGTGGTTGTGACCTCTGACCTCTGCTCTTTCTGAAGCTGCTGCTGTGTTCACATGCAGCTGAGAGAGTCAGACAGCAGAGTCTCTGCTGACGTCACAAGACAAAAAATATGACATATTTATGAAATATATTAGTCTTATGACCACGTTTCAAGAGTGAGGATGTTCTTTAACCATGATCAGTAACTTCATTTACGACATGGAGGTAGCTCTGGCTCTGGAAGTAGAGCAACTTGTCCTCCATTCAGAAGGTTGGTGGTTTAATCCCCGGCTCCAACTGTCCACATGTAGAAGTTTTTTTTGGCGAAATACTGAACCCTAAATTATCCGATGTACTGTCAGTGTGTGAGAGTGTGATACAGATGTACTGTGTATATAGCAAGTGCTGATCTGATTGATTAATCACATCCTATGTTGCAGTAATCAATCAGAGCAGCTGCAGTGTCCAGGGCAAAAAAACAAAAGTTGGAAGTAGAAAGAACGTGTCAGAAATCTGCAGCTCAGACATTGAGCTGAGGTCAGGTCATCACCACATTTCATCCAGTAGAAACAGTGATGTATTCATGCTGTTGTTGTTGCAGATGCAGTTCTGTGGCTGTTTGCTGTTCTCCTGCCTGCTGTCCATCAATCTGCTGCACTGCAGTGTCGACGGCTTCAGAGTCCAACATCAACCTCAGGTCAGACACACACACACACACACACACACACACACACACACACACACACACACACACACACACACACACACACACACTTCTTCTCCTATAAGTGTTTTTAATGTTGATTCAAGTTTGAATCACAGAACTGAAATGATTTCATTAAACCTTCCTTATTCCTTATTGTTTCAAGTAAAATTTCTGTGTGTGGAGGTTTGAGATATTTTTCACATCCTGCATTTCAGATGTTGCATTTAGGTACTGGAGGATACTCAGACATCAAACCTTTCATGTGTGAAAGACCTTCAGTATTTCATCCATCTGACATTATACAATTCATGAGGTCTATAGACTATAGTCTGGTACTGATGCAGCATAATACCTGGTGGAATCATCAGACCTGGATCAGAGTCAGGATCAGACGGTGAAGCAGCAGATCAGATTGTGTCCTATCAAATCATCCTGAGGGCCAAATCAAACGCCCCCTCCCTCAGAGGGCCTCTGTGCTGATATCAGGTTATGTAACATCAGAGTGAACAATGCCCTGAGGTCCGACCGGCCACAGGACAGAAACCTCAAGGTGGTCTCTGTTTAGTCTGGATGAAAACCGATCGTCTGACTCATCTGAGGCAGCGGGCGTACAGGAAGTGAGAAACTGCTCGCTGTCAGGGTCATGATGTAAGAGTTGATCCACAACATGGAGTCCTGATGTAGGAAAACAGTGAACAGAGCAGGGTGGCTTTCCTCTGCAGAGGTCATTGTTTTCTATACGGAGACTCCCTTATAGAAAACAACATCTGGATTTCACATCAGTCACGATGTTACTGTGAAGTCAGTTTTTTACCACTTAATTTAATTCTAATTAATTCCCATTTACAGATTAGAACAAACTAGTTCACATTCATATAATTCCTGATTCTGAATTTTGAACCACTTCCTCTCCATCCACCCTCAACCCCCAGACTAAATGAATTACTGTTTACTGTAGACTCACAGACAGCTTTGTTTTAATTAAACAGTCAGATTCTACTGGTCAGCTGCTGAGGTGATTTCAGAGGCCCACGTCAACAGGACCCAATGGGCGCCGTAACTGGGAAGATCTGTGAGAAGGGCCCAGCACAGGAACATAAAGAGTCTTAAAAATTACTGTTAAAATTTTAAAATCAGTTGTAAAATTCGCAGGAAGCTACTGCACCTGAGCACAGGTGTGATATGGTCATATTAGGGCTGATCAATATGCATATGCGATTATTTTGGAAAATTTTGTGATTGTGATATGAATCATGATTTCAGTTAGAATGGTCATTTTTGCAATTTCATTTTCACTGAAAAGAAAATGTAAAAATGATGCTGATGTGATTTTTATTGGAGCTTGTATCAAATCATCATGATCTGAATATGGTCTGTTGTTGTGAAACATTTTACTTTAATCAAAAAATTCATTTCAATTTCAAGCTGGAGCAACTGGTACTCCTGTGAGCAGTGGTCTACATGACTGGAAACAAAAGCATGGACGAGTTTTTCACTCTCCTCCTCTGACCTGTGTGACAGAGACAGACTATTTTCCTTGTGGTCCACACACACATGCAGATATATTAATTTAAGGTGTTTTTACTGACCACACCTACCTGCAATGCAGCCTTTCACCTCCTCCAAGTTCTGCTTCTAGGCAACAACAAACTGTTATTTTAACTGATATTTGCAGAAATAGCTATCAACCATCCGACTGCAGTGAGAGTTTTTTTTTATTTCTGCAGCTGTTAACTGTTCATTAACCAGGAAAATTATGTTGAGCATAAATTAAAATAATCCTGTGTCAGCTTCAGTGAACCTCAGGGTTCATGAGGACTTGACTTGATGGAAATTTCAAACTACACTAGATTAAAAATGTATAGAGAAGAGAGAGAGAAACTAAACATATCACACATATGACCAATCATCTGTTTTGCAATCCTTGTTTTCAGAATATAGACCTATCCCATCCTTTTGTTTCAATGTATAAACCTAGCCTTTCACTGTACTTCAGCATCAACTGTCCTCATGTTCCAGTATATAAACTTATCCTAGTTTGTCCTGTCATTACAGCACATTACTGACTATACCATTGTGACTCAAAGTTCATTCATGACCTGAGAAACAGCTGCTGACAGGACCATTTAATCACAGTTCCAGAGCATTTAATCATATCATATGGTCTTCAGCAGATGGAGTTGCAAGAAGTTCTTAAAGTGAAAAAGTATTTTTTATACATTTACATTTTCATGACAAGCAGGCAACTCCATCTGCTGAGGAAGACCGTGTGGTGTGACTAAAAGCTCCAGAACAGTTCTTAATAGGCTATGTTGTGAGACTGTTTCTGTTAATCAAATTGTAACTTTGTAAAGAGATGTAAACCAACCACCTTTAATTTCAGAACATAGACTCATCCCAGCTCCCTTTAATTTCGGTCCATTGTCTTATCCCAGTCTGTATTAGTTTCAGAACATAGGCTTATCCTGTCCTGTCCTTGTGTTCCAGCATGTAGACTTGCCCGCGTTGAGGCCTCTGGCATCTCTTCAGCCCCATCTTGGAGGGGTGAAGCCAGGGGAGGAGCTAACAGCGAAGTTGCTCCGATTGGATGACCTGGTGAGGATGGAAAATGACATCATGGAGCCAAAGAGGAAGAGGAGTTTCCCTGGCAACAACGCACCTCTAGACCGCCTGTCAACCAGCTCCATGGAAACCAAACAGGCAGCAAACAAGCAGAGGTACAGTACGATGGCTGTGGGACACCTGAGATACACCTGACAGGTAGTTCAGACAACTCGTTAGAGGAAGACTGAACACAAACGAGTTTCTCAGATAAAGAAAGAGGAATGTTATGACGATGGAAACATTGGGCCTCATTCACCAACCATTCTCAAGACCCACTTACGCACTTTTTACAAAGATTCTGACATTCACCAATGTTTTCTTCTGTTCTACAGTTATATAATATCAAATTATTCAAATTACAATAATATTTTTTGTCATTTTTAATATTTAAAAAAAATAACTTGTTATTTTACAAAGCATTATGGTCTTAAAATAAATGTGCGCTACATTAACACTTAATTGCTTGTTTGTGGCTCACTTCCTGCAGCAGTACCTCCACTTCAGATCTACTAAAGTTCCTTTTGCGTTTTGATTCCGGTGCTCCGTCTTTAGATTTTCGTTTTGTTTTTATTTTCTCAACTTTCCCTTACAATCTCTTTGTGACTTCTGTCTGAGTCTGCACACGACCCTTCAGTCTCACGCCCTTTTAAGGGCATTTTTGGGCGTTGCCTGTGCTAGTTAGGGCCAACTGGCGCACGCTTTCAATTTACCAGGAGATTGGCATTCATCAATCTAAGAACACAGGTGCGCACAGTTCTGTGGTTTAAGAACACGTTCATGAATCTGACGTAGAGTTTTCTTAAGAACTTTCTTAAGAACAACTTAAGAAAGAATTTAAGAAAATACTTAAGAAGATATTGGTGAATGAGGCCCAATCTCCTTTAATGATAATATGAGTTTGTTTGAGGTTCCTGATCCTGGACCAGATTACATCAGAACTATAACAATTAGATGATTAATCCAAAAGTATTCTGATAACTGAATCATCATTTTAAGTACAAAAAAGCCAAATATTTGTTGGTTTCAGTTTCTCAAACAGAAAAATGTGAAGCTTTTCTGTGTCGTACATCAAAGTAAATTAAATGTCTTTGTCTTTTAGAAACTGGATCCTGTGAACTTGGGATTGGTACTTTTCACTATTTTCACTATTTTCTGATTCTTTTCATACACTGAACAATATCTCAGTTATTAAAGAACATAAATGTCAGATAGAAAAGAATAGATAGAAGCATTTTAGGGTCAGGGAGAGAGAGATGGGAGGACATGCAGCAAATGGCCGCGAGTCAAACTCAAACCCATGGCTGCTGTGGTTTGGACTAAGCCTATGTGGTATGCACTCTACCAAGTGAGCCACAGATTAATTTTAATTTAATTCTTAATTCAAAACCTCCAAAATGCAGCTTGTTTTAAACTACAGCTGTTGATTCAGGACAGAAATCAGCTGATCATACCCAAGCAACATGGGTGAAGCCCTTTATTTTTAGATCGTGTGTGTTGTTCACCTCTTTATCTTCCTTTTTGTTCATAGCAAAGCAGTGGAGTTGCCACGGCGACGAGTCAATCCTCCTCCCATTGACAGGATTGGCATGAGTCGTCTACCAAACAGCAGAGGGTAGGCCACGCCCCCTCCTCCTGATAGCCCGCCCCCTCTCTACAGCAGCCCCCTCTGGACAGGTACAGTCACTATCATCTCAGTTAATGAGCTTACAACACAGAAATGTCCCTTTACGCTCTCTTCACACTGAGGCCTTCTTCTCTCTGCAGAGGAATCACCACTGATGCATGAAACAGCCAATCACCAACTGCCAGTCACCTGCTGAGACACGCCCACCACCTGCCAATCACACATCAATGCTCCACCTTCATTTTCACTTGGACACCAACCGACCCCAACCCCCCTTCACAGCGATGAATGTTCAGTGGTGGTGCATTCAGGTGCTGCTTGGTAAATTCATCACAGGTGCAGAAAAGTCAGGACCAAAGAAAAACAAATGAAAGCTCTACTGTTTTATTTGAATGATCCGTGTGGTTTGATCAGTGTTTATGTCTTAATAAGAAACTTTAAACTTTCAAGCACATTCAAAACCCTCATTTACTTATTATATGATTCTACACTGAACTTAACCTGAAGTTTGTTACACAGACATATCTGGGAAGGCTTCATTGGAAACTTTGGAAAAAGGTCAAACATTTAAAAAAAAAATACTTGGCAGATGATTGGATGATTGGAGCCTGAAAAGATGGATTTGATTTTCACTTGTGTGAAATCAAGCTGCTGGCAACTCCAACGTCTGAAGGATAAAATTTCTGCACTAAAACATGGCGACAGTAGTTTAAATTTTATGTCACAGGTTGAGGAATTTTAGATTTTATACTTTCTGTATTGATAAACAGTTTTCCAGATAAACAGTTTAAAAAAGTTAACATCAAATATCTGACCAGATTTATGATCTTGTTGGTTTATTCTCTGATCACATAGAGAAAATCACAAACCTTCTGTTTGTAAATTTTCAACTGTATTTTCTTTAGGTAAAGATTGTCTCCAGTTGCTGCTCTAAGATAAAGTCAAGCACTAATTGATAAGAATTGGCTCCTTTAGTTAAAAGTAGTTTTTTTTTTATTTAGAAAAAGATGTTTTTATTTCTTAAAGAGGAAAGTTTAGTTTGTATTGGTGCTAAAACTCAGATGTTGTCCTGCTAACACTAACAAAAAAACAATATGAAGCTCTGAATCAGAATTTTATTTGTTTTTAATCTGACTTGTTTTACAGATTTCTCAAATATAGAGTTTCTGTTTTGATAAATTCAACGTTGAGTTTTTCAGCCTGCAGGCAGAGATATTATGTGACAGCTGACTTTCACAACTGAACTGCTCATTAAAAGCTTCTTAAAAGCTGCTAATTAAAGCAGTTTTTTTAGGGTATCACCTGAATGCATCATCACCCCCTCCCCTCTCTTGACTCTGACTGGGGGCATCTGCCGCCTCTACGCTCAAACTGAAACATCTGACACGACTTGACTTGAGTTTGTCTCATAGTTTTATTTCTCCAGCTCCAGTGCAGCAGGTCTGTTCCCAGCAGGACGTTTCCACTGCACCAGACACCAGCTGACCACAGCACAGCTTAGTGATGAGGCTAATGTGTCTCCATGAATTCAACATGACATGACAATAAAACTAACTTAAGTTAGTTTTCTTTGAGCAGCAGTCAGTGGTCATTACAGGAACTGCAGCTTCACTTTCCTTTAGAGAGAGATAAGGTTTAAACAACAAAAAAATTGATTGGATAACTATGTACTGTTGGTTTTAGCTTAATTTCTTAAGCTGCTATAGTAGCCAGCCCCCTCTGTTGGCCAAAACAAGCATAACGCTACACGTCTGTTTTTAATTCACAGTTAAAAAACGAGGACAGCTGCAGCCGGGGACAGGCCACCAAAAACGGGACATCTGGTCACCCACAGATACAGAAGTCTGTTTCAAGACCTCCAACAACTACATTAGCATGATGAATAATCCCTACTGTTATAATTCAGTCTGATTATCAGGCTACAGATACAGTTGGTGATCACAATTTGGTCTCTATATGGGCTCAATACCAAACCTGGCAACCTCACTGTCACTGGACTTCCACAATAGTTCCAGCATGTAACTCATCGGAGAACCTCAAACTGTGGTTCTTACATTTCTCTTTGTACTGATCAAACAAAAGAGCTACATGTTATTATCAGTGATTTTCAGGTGTTGACAGGCGTGTGTGTTTTTGAGGCTAGCTGTTTCCCCCTGCTTTCAGTCTTGATGCTAATCAAAGGCTAACACATCCTGACTCCACCTCTGTACTAGGGCTGCACAATAAATAGAAATATAATTGACTTTGCAATATGGCCAAGTACAATATCCAAATCTAAGGAGCTGCAATTTTTTTTGATAAATGTGAAATGTGTCACAACATTGTGGTGCATTGTTAGCACCACAAGCGTTGTGGTGCTATAAATCATATTCTCCAGCAGTAAATGAACATGTTTATTTGATACAAGATCAACAAAAATCACATCATCATTTTTTTTCCCAGTGAAAATTAAATGCAAAAATGATCATTCCAACTGAAATCACAATATCGGCCAAAATAATTGCAATATAATTTTTTTTTTTTTGCATTTCGTGCAGCCCTACTCTGTACCGAACACTTCACTCTCACAGAGAAAGACAAAAATGTTAACTACTCCTTTAAAAATGGTCAGACCATTTGACTGTATTATGCATTTACATTAGCTCAGGCTACAAGTCCTAAAAAAACCTTAACAAGCCTCAACATGAAGAGTTCATCCACTACATCCACTACATCCACAACAGAAGACAATGTTTCAGTGTTTAAAAGGTTCATCTCATTTCTTTTATGGACTAAAACTATCATGTAAAACTGTCAGCAGCAGGTACAGGTTCATATGAGTGCTGAATCAGCACATCACTGTGACCTGAACCATGAATAAGATTTACTGGCTGACTGTATCTGACTGTGTCGGCTGCGACACACTGGTGCAGTGGAAAAGGTTTCCTCATCAGAGAGATGTCTGTGTCTGATCTGACTTGGTTCCTGTTGACATTCAGTCCTGTTCACTGATTCTGTTTTAAATGCTTCTTACTGCCTGAAGTTTAAATGTGCATAATAAAGAGTAAATGATCACTGTGCCAAGACTGTGTTGTTCTGAAGGTCAGTGACAGCGGAGGGTAAACACACCTGACACAGGTTAAAACAGTGCATGTTAGCCTGGCTTAAAGTCTGACCAACTGAAGCTCACTTAATACTGGACTTATGGGACCGACAGACCTTTGACAATAAATCTGATTACAATATATCAATTACAATATTTATTTTTTAACATAGAACAATATTTGTGATAAGGATCCCTTAGAATTGGTAAGAATCTGAACATTTCAGTCCCTCAGATACTCGGCAGCGCAGAAATTGTGAATTTGGAGGGACTGAGATTTTCCTCATTCAAGTGGTTTCCACCTACGTTAAGTTCTGTGAAATCTGAATGAGTTTCAAACGTAGTTTTAGATTCAGTGTGAGTTCTGAGGATATCATTAACTATGATGTTGATCACAAACGTCCATAAATCTACATAGAAATCATAGAAAAATGAGGCTCCTAATAACTGCAGAACTTCATACTTCATACTTCCTGCTTCTTGAAAAGTTAAGGTCGATTCAGGGAAGACTTTTAACATTAATGTGTAACATCAACCAAAAGACTTTGTAGAAGAATAACCATTTAATAATTACACTGATGTTTGCACTCATAACACTGGCTGGGCTCTACCTGGGAACAGAAAACTGCATATTTTGGGGAAATCTTTCAAATGTGGATAATGTTAAACTTCGCACAAATCCTCCTTGAGTATTACTCTTTTGATAAAACACGTTAGCCACTCGAAAATTCAAGATGGCCGCCATTTCTGTCATGGAAATATTATTTTTTGCGATAAGTTCATCCACTATTTTCTCATATGAATAGTCCAGGTGTCAAATCAAACATTTCAACAACATAGAAGGTGAAATTTAGAACACTGTAAAAAATTAAATAAAAGTATATTTCAACAAACTATTACTCACAAAAAAGCAAACAAGTAGACCGTTGACTCTTACAGAACTTTGGGTTCATCATACATAAATGGTTTGCAAATACATTGTGTTTTATGCAGAATTTTTCACATCACATATCAGAAATTGCACAAATAAATCTCTGAGGAAATGTAAGAGTTGTGATTTTGACATCCTCATTGTCTAAAACACAGGAGTCAATTACAAAATCATTGAAAGTTGTCCTGTGGGTAAAAATTCTGTGGTAAAATATGTTTCCTTTGCCAGTAGTGGCGGCCATGTTGAAATTTCAAGTGGCTAATGGGATTTTTCAAATGAATGGCCCCAGAGGGATAAACATACCAATTATGGTGCTTGTGTCCACTTTTAAAAGATTATTGCAGTCATCTGCTGCACTACAGTACACTACACTACAGAATGTACCCTTTTAGATTTTGGCACTGACTTAAGTTTTGACAGGAAAGATTGTACTATAGAATCTGAGTTCTGTAACTCTACTTTTCTACTGAAAGAAAATTTGAAGATAGAGGATGAGGATCCCAGGTTAGAAAATCAAATATGTGACTGTTTACATTTAGGTGTGGTCTGTAAAGTCCATAGGGTTATGTGGTGTTCTCAAGTCTACGGTCTACCTCATGTGTTTGGTCTGAAATCATAGAGAGCCAACAAACCACAAGTTAAGTGAACTTCCTGTAACAGAAGAGTTCAGAGAGCAGATGTGAGTTTCTGTTGAGTCTTTATTAAGAAAAGTATCATCTGATCCAGAACAGTGCAGACAAACGGGCTGATTCACACAGTCAACAAACTGACTTGGGATCAGATCTCACATCTTCACTACAGAGTCCTGGAGTCTGTTTTAAAGGTCAAGACTGATCCGGATCAAATGGAGCCATGGTGTTACCTGTGTGAACTGAGTCCTGCAGACAGTTTCCACCTGTAAAGTTTCTACGGGAGCAGAAAAGAGAGAAAATGGACTGAGGAGTAGGTCTGGCCAGCCTATTAGTAAAATACAAACATCTTCTCATTCAGAGTCAAAGAGAGTGAGGGCCAGATTTTGTTCTTAAATCCAGTACTGGAGAATTTGAGGGGAATTTGGACTCAAAAATCTCACCATAATGATCCTTGAATCAGCTGCATTGAGTTTATCTCTAACTACCAGGATCACCATAGAACTGACCATCAGTATTACCTCCCTCTATCTGTCATTGTTCATTTCATTTCCACTGTGGCTGGTTTTGGCAGTTTTATCTCACCTTTGCCTGCTTACTGATGGTAGTACTGAAGTAAAGTCACCTGGTTTAAATGTAAATAACTCACACAGTCAGTCCTGTGTACTCATGAGGTGACTATAAAGAGACTGTAGTTTTGTCCTTTATGGGGAACAGCAGCTGTGATAAAACTTCAAGTCAGCTACAAGCAGCTGCTATAGTGAAGTTTTTAAAGTTAAAAGACTGATGTTGTAGTTTTATTTTCTTTAAACAAGTGGAGAAAACTGCCAGTATGGTGAGATTTGTGGTTTAATTTCAATGTATTTTCTAAAACGAATGTTAATTTTTTTGACTCTAGCACAGAAAATTGCTTTACTCATTTTGTTTGAAGACACTCATTTCCAGAAAACTCTTAAAATAAGTGCACCAGCAGATTTTTGTCACTTGTTTTAAGAAAATATTTTTATTAAAGTCAATTATAGACAGAAATTATCTGATAAGTGTAATGAGTGTAATGGTTTGAAGAAAAGGTTACATAGCTAACTGCTTATATAAATAATGTTTCAGACCTTGATTATTAAAAAGATAAAGTTAATGTAGCTGAATGATAAGCTAACATTTTGAACATTAGTTACATTGGTTTTAACTCAAGTAAACTGACCAAGCCAACTAAGTTAACATCAACTAACTTAGTTGGCTTGTAGATAAAGCTAAAATACTGCTAACCTTAGATAACATCAGATACAGCTAATGTAGCTGACTGCTAACATAAGACAATGTTAGCAGTCAGTTACATTACATTAAAGCTACATTACGTTACATTATTGTTAGCCGAACATTAGCTAACTTAGCAGGCTTGTTGGGAAAGCTAATATAGTACTAATTATTTAACATTATCGACACTTTACAGTTAGTTCGGAGCTAAAGTCAATGTAGCAGACTGCCAACATTAACTATCATGGTTAGCTTAGATGTAAAGCTCACATTATTATGTCAACTCACTGCTAACATTATTTACCATTTTGGACTTGAATATAAACATGAATGCTAATTAGCTGGCTTGGTGGTAAAGCTAACATCATGCTAACATTAGTGAACATGGAGGATCCATTTGGTTTGGAGCTAGTGCAAATGTAGTTGACCGCTAACGTAAGTTTATCTAATGGACCATGCTAGTCTTGAGATAAGACTAACACTGATAACTGATAATATAAGCCAATGTTGTAGATTTTGCTAGGTATTAGATAAGGCTAATGTACCTTACTGCTAACATAAGTTAACATTAGGAACCTTCTTGATTTGGAAGTAAAAAGGTACATAGCTAACTGTTAACATTAGTCAATGAATTTAGACATTAGTTTTTATCTCTGAGTCATTTTCTAATATTTGCTGGATAGTATTATAGATTTCAACATAAAGCTGACTGCTAACTTTGAGGTCAAGTGTAATGCTAACACTGTGGATACAGTCAATCTGGAGCTAAAGCTAATGTAGCTAACTGCTAACATATGCTAATGTTAGGAGATAAAATGAACATAGCTGACCGCTAACATCAATAGCAGTTGTCATTCATTCCAAGGATCATTGTGGATCATATTTAATATTTTGTGTCCAGGCACAGGTGAGTCTCTGTAGATGTTCACACTTTGACCTCAGCCCTTTAGTAAGGCAGAGCTGGACCTGAGGAGGAGGGGGGAGGGGGAGGATAATTGTGGGATTGTTCAGGAACAAAACATTAAAAAGAAAAAAGTGAATAAATCCTATGGATATTAAAATCAGAGTGGCATCCGGTTGCCTTCAACACTGATTTTAACAGCGTGACCCGTCTTCGTTAGGCGGCGGATGTCAGCAAATCTACGCATCTGTTTATCAACACGAGACAAACCCTTCTTCATCGGACCCTGAGGGAAGAAACAGACACAGAAACAGAAAATAAAACTAAATGTGAGATAGAAACATGTTGAGGATTGTATGATTTCTTTAAACATCTCTGCTTTAAATCTGACTGCACTGATGCTGTCAGGTTAAATGCTCAACATCCAGCCACATACAAACTTTACAAAAAATTGGACATGTGAAATCTTTTAACAATAGAAAGCAGTTTTAACAAAAGCAGTGTGTTTTTATCAGGTGTTTCATCAGTCTTAAGCCCACTTCACTTCTCCAGAGATGTGCATTGGGAGTCAATTCCTCAGAGTTGACAGGCAGTTCAGAGGCTTCACTGTTACATTACCTGTCATCATGGGGAACGTGGAGAAATGTTTCTGTTTCCAAAAATATATGAACTTTGCTCAACTATACCATAAAATCTCAAATAAAAGCTGGCACTCAAGTAATGACAGAGACTCAAACAGCGGATGGCAATGTCGGTATGAACAAATAAATGCCAGATATAAAAACATGGAGCTGGAGTGGAAGTACCTGTGCTCACATGGTAAATTCAGTGTAAATCCAGCATTCATAAAAAAAAAAAAATGTCAATCAGAACTTTGTTGTTCTTGTTTCCTCTACCATGAATCCTCTGACAACCCCTCCGATTAATCTGGTGTCCCTTTGAAGGGGCCTGACCTTGAGGTTGGGAACCTGTGGAAGCACCAGTCACTGGAGAACAAAGTACTTTTACTTTGATACTTTAAGTACAACTTGCTGATAATACTACAGTACTTTTACTGATGTAGGATTTTTAATCCAGGACTTTTATCTTTACTTGAGTATTTGAGTTTGCTGGATTTTGTCCATGAAACTCACACTTACTGCTAAAAGTATACCAAGGAAAGCAGGTAATATGCCATTTGAAGCTGCAGGTGGATTTCAATGTGGAATATGTGCAGGAATTGCTGAGTCATATTGACAGCAGAGGAAGAGTAGACGACAAAATGACACAGTAGAAGAGTCAGGTATTAATTAGAACTGAAATTATTAATCACTTGATTGGTTCATTGATGCTTTAGTGGAGCAAATAACTGCATGTTTCAGGGAAATCTTTCGAATGTGGATAATGTTAAACTGGGCACAAATCCTCCTCGCATATTATTCTTTTGATAAACTACGTTAGCGTTATCGTTATTTCTAGCAAGGAAATGTTCATTAGCTCATCCACTATTTTCTCATATGAATAGTCCAGGTGTCAAATCAAACATGTTAACAAAGTAGAAGGTGAAATTTAGCACACTTTACAAAAATGTAATGACAGTATATTTCAGCAAACACATTACTCACAAAAGCTAACTAGCTTAGTGCCAGTGAGTTAGCCTAGCAAGCTAATGTTAAGACAAATAAACAAGTAGACTGTCAACTCTTACAGAATTTTTGGTTAATCATTCATAATAAATGTTTGAAAATACATTGTGTTTTATGCAGAATTTTTCACATCACATATCAGAAATTGCACAAATAAATCTCTGAGGAAATGTAAGAGTTGTGATTTTGACATCCTCATTGTCTAAAACACAGGAGTCAATTACAAAATCATTGAAAGTTGTCCTGTGGGTAAAAATTCTGTGGTAAAATATATGTTTCCCGTGGCCAGAAATGGCAGCCATCTTGAAATTTCAAGTGGCTAATGGGATTTTTCAAATGAATGGCCCCAGAGGGATAAACATACCAATTTTGGTGCTTGTGTCCACTTTTAAAAGATTATTGCAGTCATCTGCTGCACTACAATACACTACACTACAGAATATACCCTTTTAGATTTTGGCACTGACTTAAATTTTGACAGGAAAGATTGTAATTTGGTTTGGCTAGTATTTGTCATTCTAATCATTAAAATGCCATAAATTAGCTGGTTTCATCTTCTCAAACATGAACATTTGCTGTTTTTAATTTGTCTTGTTAGACAGTGAATTGACTTTTTTTTTATCAAATGTAAGAAAAGAAGCAGCAGCAGCAGCAACATTTCCTAACACTGGAGAAGCTGAAATCTTCCACTGCACTTTTGTTTCAGCAATCATTGATTAATCTAATGATCATTTCAGCTCTAGTATCATCACTGTCAACAGCCGAGTCAGCTGAGCTGTTAGCTCATCAAAAAGCTGATGTCACTTCAACACAAAACAGGCTGATGGATCACATGTCACCTGGATGCTCAACAAAAGGTGTAAGGTGTCATGCATCATAACACTCATGAACAAGAAGCCTCCACCAAATTCATCACACATTCATGACTCCACACAGGAGTCATGTTAGTGTGGTGCTGTGTGCTCACAGGTAAATCAGGTCACAGGTGAGTCAGTTTACAGGCTAATATCTTTTATCTGGAAACAGCGGTGCATCTTTTTTCAGGAGAAACACCACACAGTTTGCACCATCACTGCACACCATGCAGAAGGACTTACTGCCCCCACAGGTCAACAGCAGGAACTACAGGGGCATTCTGTTCCCCTCTATGCTGATCTTGACAGCTCCCTGTGGGCGACGCATTTTCCTTTCCTCAGCAAAGCGGCGCTTGTGCTTCTCCAGCAGGCTGAGGCTTTTCTTATAGCCGCTCTACAGAGGACCAATCACAGCTCAGCTCCTAAACTCAAACCTCCACTGACAGTAAACAAACATAAGAGCTCTAAGAGATAATTCAACTGAAATAGAGGCAAACGGGATTTATATATGCATTTTTATTTTAAGGGATTCTTAATTTTACTACTATAACTTTAAATATTATTATTTTAACGATTTTATGGACTGATCACTGATGACTCCCCGACATTATAAAATCCACACAGCAGTGAGGGTAGTGAAGGCCGACATCCTTTAAACTCAGTTTTTTCTTTTTGTAAATGACTTTCACCTTCTCCAGGTGACTGAACATCAGGTTTTGCCTTCAGACTCTCTGACATGATCACTTTTTGACAGAACAGGAAGACAACCCCTCCACCCCCCCATGTACTCACTCTGCTGGAGTCCACCTCTACGTTCCACTTGGGCCGTACAACATAGTCTTTGTTGGAAGGCATCGGGACCCGAGCCCTGGCACAGAACCCGGGGTCTCCGGGTCGCAGAGCTCTGCAGGGAGGAGGCGGAGTTTAGTGTCTATCTTTATTGTTAAAAACTAAATCAAACTTTCATATTGTCAGACATCTGCAGCCTCACTCGACATGAGTATGATGACAGTGACATGATTTTATAAGTCAAGAGCTCTGTTGATTCCAGTTCCTGTAAAAAGCTTTTGGATATGTGCGTTGTGGAACTGAAAGCATCAAAACTTCTTGGATCCAACAGACAACAAACCACCAGCTTCTGTCACTTTGAAACTGAACTTACTTTTCTTCTCCAGTCAGCTGTTTCTCCAGGTCTCTGCGAGGCGTCTGACCCCCTGAACTAAAAGGAGAGAAGGTGAGGGAGAGAGAGATACGTGGGTTTATATCATGATGAATGAACAGTGAACACAGTAACCAGGGTGGGAAACAAGCAGAGTTCATACATCTGGAATGTTGCACCTGATGCTTAAACTCAGCAGGACGTCCACAGTCTGCTGATGTGCAGGATAAATGTCCCACTAAGCAGCAACACCACCAGCAGAGTCTCCATGCTATTATTAGCATTCTCCACCTCACAGCAGTTAGTCAGCAAGTCAGTGCTAAAGTCTGTGACCTGCGACCCAGGAACCATTTCAGGAAACCAGGAACCTTACCTGCATTTCAACCAGAGGAACCAGAGTCTAATTTTAATTCCTGATGCCAGAACAGTCCCTGCTCTCTCCTGATGGCTCAGGAACTATTGGCTCTACTGTGCTGAACAACGCTGAACTCAGGCTGCATCGTGTGTACAGCTTCATTCACACAGTAAACATAAGCCTACTCAGCTTCCTCCCTTCCAGGCCCGTATAAGGAAGTTCAGTCCTTCTATCTGTGCTTGGATTCACACTTTGAATTCCTGTTAAACTCTCAGTCTATAGACTTTGAAGTGCAACCATGCAATTGTAAAACTGAACCTGATTGGTGGAGAGAAGACGTCAGGTTCCTCCGCCCTCTCCACTATTCTTGAGGCTGACTGGGGGTGGGGGGTGGGGGGTAATGAAATGGAAGGATGAGGAGGAGTAAAAGAAGAAAACTGAGTAAGAACATAAAAACCAGAACAGGACAGGAGAGGCTGAAGAAGAAGAACAATATGATGCTGAGGAGGGGAGAGAATGAAAAGAACATGACAAAAAAAGAAGGAGAGAGATTATGTAGGATGAAAACACCTGGAGGAACTGGGAGATATGACCTGAAACCTACAAAGACCTGAGGAAGAATAATGTCACATCCACGCAGACTAAAACAATATGTGGGTGGTTTTCATCTTTTGCTGCAGATATTTGTGACATGTCATAAACCTACACCACAAGACTTTTCATCCTCTTCAAATACAGAGCATCAGAGATAAAAGAAAAAAGGCTCTGACATTAATTAATTAGTTAAAGAGCCACAATAAAGTAGGGAACTACCCAGGGCCCCAAGATCCCAGGTGCACTGGGTGTCAGTTGTTCTTTATGATTTAATTACTTACAAATGAATAATGTTGTGTCCTGTCTAAAGTCTCCTTATAACACCTGATTTTTTTACATTATATTGTGCTCCCATGATGCATTTCACTCACTGTAGCAGGAAGTACCGCAGAGGCAGTTTTGAGTACTCTGTCAGTCAGTTAATCTTTACAGGTTTGTAGCTGATATCTAAATGAGGCTGAGTTTGAAGATACTCATGAGTCAGAATGTCAACATGTTGACATGTGTCTCAGTGATGGTCTCTAGTTGCTGTTTTATTTTCAATCTTATTTATTTTTATTCAATTTTGATCTGGTATTTCTGGTTTTATGTCTCTGTAAATTACTTAGCATCTGTATGAAAAGTGATATATAAGGAAAATAATAATTCACCTAATGGGAATATTTTAGGAATTGACTAAATTAAACATTTTAAAACGCTGTTGGCCACTCTCATATTCTGGCTCATTTACATCAAACTGTGCACGCTTCACTTTACTGTCAACATATTCCAAAGCCGCTGAATGTGCTCCTCCTTTTTCCACGGACATGTGGCTCTCCATTCATTCATACAGTCTGTTCATACAGTTTGATGATGAGAGCTGTGTGATGTTGTGGAGATGAGAGCTGAGTGTATCAGTACCTTAGTCGTCGTCTCTGAGGCATCTGCTGGTCCAGGTCTCTCTGCTGCCGCTCCTCTCTCGTCATTCCTTTGTAGTTCGACGTCAAACCAAAGATCGGCCGCGACCACTCATCTGGACACAAGACACATCCACACTCATCATCAGTACACTGTCTCTGCTAATCCTCAGTGACACTGTACCAGCCTTTAATGACAGTTAGCATTGTGCACTGCTCTCAGCTGATCACGCTCTTATTCTGAAAAAGACCTTTTGGAGGGTTTCTGCAGTGTTCACCAAATCAAATTTAAGACTTTTTAGACCTTTTCAATACCATATAGAATGAAATCTAATATCCATTAATTAATTAACAATTATTATTTAAGTACATGTATCTATTGTCATTTACATTCCATTTTTGTTTTTACTTTTCAACTGTGTAGAACAAAAAATTTTAGTAATATAATTTACAATCAATCAATTAACATGGACCTGGACCCAGATCAAATTAATGGGAAGATTTACCAAATAAAAAGATAATTACAGGTTTTGCTGTTTTGCTACTTTCTATGAGATACTACAGTGGCTAGCAGTAACCAATAATGACATAATAATAAATACCTCAACAGAAAAATGATTAAAAATAGCTCACAACTTATATAATACATAACCTATATAAATAATATTACAGGCAAGAAACAATATTCAAGACTTCTGAGTTAAGTTCAAGACTTTGTAGAGACCTGTAGATTGACTCTGCACTGGTCGTAACACAGATGGATTACATGACGAACACACTGATGATTTTGATTTAACACTTTTTTTCTTTGTAAGACTATGTTCATGATTATTTTCTGTTTCCTTCTGTTATTGCTCATCTTGCCATCTTGTATTACTGCTTATGTATTACTGTGATGTTTCCTGTAACAAATGACAATGTCATTGTCCTGTTGTAATGTGTTACTTTTTTCTTTCATTGTTTTAAACTCAGCACACTTGTAAGAGAGGACACATGGTCCCCTCAATGTGTTAATCTGAGTGTAAATAAAGGTAATGATAAAGGTTATATAAAACATTTAAAAATCAATTTAAAAGTTTTAACATCAAACTGGATTAATGAGCAAACAGAAGCTTTTTATGTTGTGTTCTATTGTAACTTTATGAAGGTTGTTTTAGAATGACTTAGTACCAGTTGTCTGGACAATTATACCCCTTTTCCACCAAAATTAGCAGGTATAAATGCGTTTTAAACGCGGGTAAACCCACTAATAAAAGCTGAATTACCCCTTTTCCACTACCCCTTTTCCACTGCCAGTCGAGTTTGTTTTTCTGTTATGACTTACAGACGTTACAGATGTCACAGGGGAGCCAGAATTGATAAATACCTGCGTCTACTGCAGAGTCATGGTGTGAATGCTGATTGTTCCCTTTTCCATTGCTGACAAAAGCCCAATGCTAGCAGGTCTTAGCGGGTTTTTGACCAATGGAAAAGGGGCTTTCCACTTCATTTAGAACGTGAGTGTTGGTCCTCCTGTCTCTAAGTGTTGTGAGGTGAGAGGTCCTTACTGATGAGCTTGAGAGCGAGGTCTTTGTTGGATCGAGATTCTTTGGGATGTTTGTACAGGAACATGACGGCGCGGCCAATCCCACTGTGCTTCAGAGTCTCCTGACTCACACTGGGCAGCTGCAGGAGGAGACACACAGTCAAAACAATAAAATAGCCCTGGTCTTTAAAAAAGAAACCCAGAGGTCCACCTGTGACCATCTGTACTCACCTCCTGAAGGATCCTGAGCAACTCCTCTCTGATTCTGAGAGCAGGCAGTGATTTATCTGGAAGAGGACTGATCCACTCTTTAATGGCAGACATCACTCCGCTGTCAATAAACGTCTCCTTCAAGTCCTGTCTGAGGGACAAACACCATCACAACACCTTCAACTAGAGCTCCAGGAGAAGTTAAAGACTTGACTGACGGAGGGGTTATGAGTAGGGCTGGGGCGACGTGTCGACGTCATCGACTGTGAAACTGTGCGTCGATGCGTCGTTTGAAAACAAACAATGGCGGCAGCAAGTAGCGGCAGTATCGATACCAGCGAGTCAGTTGACTCTGATCAATGTAGAACACGAACTCGTAGTTCAAAGGTATGGGAGTATTTTTCCATAAAAGGAGGCCCTTGTGTCGTTTGTCGGCTGTGTAAAATGGAGATGGCTTATCATAAAAGCACGACGGCGATGCACCAGCACATCAAAAGGCGGCATCCAGGCGCAGCTTGTGTGGATGACAAAACACCGCAAGTTTTCAACTTTTTACAATATCCACTTTTCTTGTTTGTTTTGTTGTGCCATATTATATTATGCAAGGATTCATCACATTTTATTACCATATTGTAACATTAAACATCATACCGTGCCATTCATCCAAACACTCCCACGTACACATACAGACACACAGACACAATATTCTTGAGTGAAAAGGCAGAGTGTATGTTCCTGTGAATGAACAGCACTTTATATTTTCTTAGTTAAAAAAGAACACTGCTGCTGTTTATATTTTATTGATTTTATGATGATAACATTTTCTTGATTCTTGCACAACAAGAACTTGTTTTATTTATTGAAAGTATTTTATTTCATTTTATTTTTTGTTAAACGCTACCTCTGACTTCAGATTGCACTATTGTTTTCATTACTTGAATTTTATTTTGGAATTTGTTAATTTTTGGTGAAAACAATAAAAATATGTTGGAATGAAGAAATTTGTGTTTTTTCATTGAGATACATAAATTAGCATATGTAAATTGCTATATAAGTCAAATAATGGGAAAATAATCGATAATCAAATCGAATCGAATTCGAATCGAATTGAAAAAATGAATCGTTAGATTAATCGATGCATCAAAAAAATAATCGCTAGATTAATCGATTACAAAAATAATCGTTTTGCCCAGCCCTAGTTATGAGGTGTGAGATCTCAAATATAATGAGCTCTTACTTCTTCAGGTGCATCACGACTTGTGGCAGCAGAGTGAGTTTCTTCAGCGCTGGTTTCTTCTGACTGTTCAGAGTTCGATCCTCCTGTTAAAACAACACACAGTCAGTCAGGCAGCGAAAAAAACAGTGATTGGGGTGATGAGGCTTTTATTTTGTGGGGCAGACCTCTGCGGCTTCGTTCATCTTGGTGATCATGGCACTGACCACATCATCAGCGTCGCTGATGAATGTCCCTCCGTCGCGGTGTCTTCTCTTCCTGCTGTTCATGGCTTTTCTCCGAGCGAGCATGATGTCGAAGTCAGACATGAAGCTGGTGCTGAACACACACACACACACAGATTACAAGTCTTCAATTAAAACTTATAAAGTAGAAACCGAGAAATAAAAAATAAAAAATCTTGTAATCTTGTAAAGTCATTTAGGGAAACATATATGGCAGATACTGCATTGTCTGTAGCCTGACATGTTAATGACTCTGTATCATGTTGGTAGATTTAAACCTTTTTGGTACAGGTTTGGTTTGGTCATAACTGTTTTCTCTTCGCATTAATTTCTACATTCAGTATCTAAAGACTATATTTTTTACTTATTTAGCTTTTTATATATTTTGTAATTTTTCTATGCAAAGATTTCAAGACCCAATGACAGTTTGTTTGTCTGTGTTTTTCAAGTACAGCAGACAGTTAATACAGCTCCATCAGTGCGTGATAGCTGAACTGTATCTGTCATTATTAACTCTGACTTAATAGTTTTTATATAAAAATTCTTATTCAAAATGTGCAACCCTGAAATCACAGGAGCTATGATTTTAGTGAAAACTTCCATCATTAGAAGTGTGTTGAGCTGCAGACAGTGAGAATGGAAACCAGCGAGCTGCTAGTGACGGGTCACTGATAATCATTTTGAGGTACTTCTACTTTGCTAGAGTGGCAAATATAAACAATAAAAATTAATGTTTATAGATTAGGCCCAACACTAGTGTGTAGTACCACTTACATATTGCTACATCAAAAATAACTATGTAATAATGTAATAGTATAACATGGTACATTCACTTGTACTTGTCATGGTGTATATCTATAGTGTGGTTTTAGTACTTTGACTTGAGTTAAGGATTTAATACTTTTTCCACCACTGCTGTTAACAATAAATATGAGATAGTATAAATATTTTATATTAAAAAAGTTAAGTTGGTAGTTTTTTTTTTTTTTTTAATAAAATCGAGAACAAAGAAAGTTTGCCCAATTTTTGAGGACGTCAACAAGAAACAGCTCAGCCATTTAAATCACAATATTCAGAAATATCCTCATATTGTCATATATTGTTTCAGCCCTGTCGTGTTTCTTACTCTTGACCACTGCGGTCAACGCCTTCATCAGAGTCGGACTCCTCCTCCAGCTGGTGCTGCTTCTCCCTGGCCTCCTTCTTGGCCCCCTCCAGGTCCTCCTGGTTGAAACCCTGCAGCAGGAACAGACACTCAGTCAAGTGAAAATAAAACCTAATCCATCAACTACCTTCATGTCCAGAAATTGAGCAGGATGATATTTAATCAGGCTCTGTTAACTTTGACACATCCCCTGTGCTTCCTCCTGTTTTTTTAAATCAGTGATGTCTCCTGTTATTAACCCGCTGTTTATATAAATTGTTAATCATGAGCAGCGAAGCAAAATAGGGAGAAAGGCCAAAATATTGGTGAGGACTTATAGAAGTGTGGGGGAAAGGAGGGAAGGTGTGATCTGTTAGTGTTTAAGAAGAGCACTGGTAATAGCTGATGATTCAGAAACACAAACGACATAAACAAACTCACCGTGAATTCCTCCTCCTCCTCGTCTCCAGACTCTCCAAAGATGTCTGCAATCATTTTCCTGCACAAAACAGAGGGGTCAAAGGTCACACCAGCAGCTCCCAGTTCAGACTTGGGGTTCAAATGTTTGTTTCCGAGGGTCATTAAATTAACAGAGAGTCAGTTCACTTTGTGTGAATAGAAAGTTTGTGTGTGTTATGTTTGCAAACAAGGCTGGCCTCCAGTTTTTCCTTGAGGGACTAATAAAGTTTTTTGGTCTGAAACTGATTTATTATTTTCTCTCATGCATAGGGAAGCAGCTAATGATCACTTTCTCATTTTTCTTAATTACTAATCTGTGTATAATTTTTCCAAATTAACCATCCAAAATATCTGAAGATGTCAAAATTATTTTTAAAATGTTCATCAGAACAAAATGTGATAATCAAATATACAATAAAAGAAAACCACTACATGTTTAACAGACTGGAGGCACACAACATTTCATAAATTAACAAAATAAGTGCCCATTAACTTTCTGGCTAATCAGTTAATTGACAAAAAGTCTCAGCTGTATTTGTGACATGAAAGATTTCTGTGTTTAATAGTTAAGTTTTTATTAGGTCTGCTAGTTTCTTTATTAATTAATCTGATGTCCATTTTTTTGCATGGACTGATTCTGTTTGTCTGTAAAACATTAGAAAATGTTTGCCACAAAGTTTTATTTTGTTATTTTTGTTTAAAAAATTGATTACTTGATCGACTATGAAAATAGTTTTTGATTATTTTCTGTCAATCAAATGGTGGCTTAATTGCTGGTTTCATTTCATATGAAAGACTAAAACAATTCAGGAATGAAATGAATTGAAATGGACGAGATGTTTACTGACACTGAGCAGCAGCCTGTAGCCCAGGTGTGGTCCTGTTTCAGGTTAAAATGGCAGCATTAGTTAGAACCCCCTAACAGGCAGATTTCACCTTTAAAATTCAGATTAAAATTCTTATTATTTGTATCAGCTTCTTTCAGCTCTTTGCTGAAGCTCTACGATGTTTCCACTGAATTCAACATTCCTCCATCAGATGGAAATATTCTACATGTTTGACCCCAAAGTTAAATTTTTGGATCTCCACTAGATTCTGAGGCAAAGTTCTGTGTCTGAGCAACATGTGACAGCCTGGTGTGAGTTTATAATGACAGGTCAGTGAGGTTTAAATTGAACTGGAGTCCAGAACTCACTCCTCCTCATCGTCGTCTCCAGAGTCGCTGTCACTGCCGAACAGCGCCTTCTCATCCTTCTTCCCCGCCATGGCCTTCGACGCCTCGTCATCGCTCCCGCTGTCTGAGCCCAGCTCCCTCAATTTGGCTGCCAGACTCTTATCAGGACCAATTAACCCCCCATCACTGTCTGAGTTCTCATCATCTGACACCGCCCGACTCCTCTTCACTGCTTAGGACCACAGAGAGAAAACACATGAGCCTGATGGTACCATCTGAACATTCCCTCAGTGTATGACAGTATGATCTGCCTCTAACCTCTGGTTTCAGTCTTTCCAGCAGATGTTGAACCTGCAGCAGAGATTTACTCCCACTGACACACATTAGAGCAACAGTGAGGTCCAACACAGACAGTTAGGGCTGGGCGAATAATCTAATATTATTTTCCATTACGCTTTTGGCTTTGAACAATTCTGAAAACAAGATAATCGAGATAAAACAATATTGTTTCACAACAAATTTCATCACCACTACAAAAACCATCGCCCCATCCACTTCTGAGTTACGTTTTAACATTAGCAACGTATGTAGGAGTGGGTTGTTGTGTTGCACATTTGGCTTTCTAAAACCTCAAATGAAAAAATGCTTTGTGAAATTATGATGACTGGGTGTCCGTCCAAAAAGTATTGGCTTGTGTATCAATCTATCTATTTATCTATCTAGTTAGCTAACTTTTAATTGGTTTGTTTGTTTTTCCATTGAATTGTATTTTAAGTTGAAGAAAAGTCCACTGTTAAAAAGACAATGTTCTTTTTAAATGCGTGGTCTTTCCAAAGTCAATGAGTAATCATGTTAAATAATCATGATCAAAATAATCGTGATTATGATTTTTGCCATAATCGAGCAGCCCTACTGACAGTGGTGATGAGGTGTGGATCACAGTTGGTGTTCCATCTCATCCTGAAGGTGCTGGATGAGGCTGAGATCAGAGTCACGCTCTTCCACACCAAACTGGGAGAACTGGTCTCTATGGAGCTGACTACACATGCAGAGTAAAAGTTAATTGTTGCTTCAAACTTCCAGACTCATCCCACTGTGCTGCTCTGAGTTAAACTCTCTGTCCTTTACTGTAAAGTGAGCCGGAGCCTGGAGGCTGATGGGAAGTTCAAGACAGAAGAAAGAACTTTTGAGCCTTTCGTCCATAAGCAGCAAATATTTTTGTTCCATGAATATACACTTTATTAGATTAGACCTGTACAGTCTAATGACATAACATCACATCTCTTCACTGCTCATATTTTCTCATGTTTGTCCTCCCTATTTACACAAACAAGGAGTCAGAATATTAGAAACACCTCTCATAACATAGTCCAGTAAAACACAATCACTGTGACCTCAGTACTACAACATGTAACTGAATGAAAACCTTTACAACAGAATCAGAAACTGAACATTATAAACTCAGTGAAGTTGTATTGGACTGGATTATTATTGTGCAGGTCTTTCTATAAGTAAACTGTCACATCAACATATAGAAATGAACAAAGCAGCAGCTGACTCACTTGAGTAACAAACAAGATTTTCAGCAAAAAAACAAGAAAGAAAAACTAAAGAAAACTGAGTCATACAGCACACACTCAGTCACACGCACACACTTAGAATTAGGGCTGCACGATATGCCATAAAAATTGATTTACGATTACTTTGGCAGAAGTTGCGACTTCAATTGTGATAATTTTCTTATTTCATTTTTCATTCAGGGTGGGTAGCCATCTACCTCGGCCGGTTGGGGGGGGAGGGAGGGAGGGAGGGAGGGAGAGAGAGAGAGAACACAGAGGAAAAGAACAAGAATGTACAGTGATAGCAATATTAATAATAGTGACAGTAGATGCAGCGGTAGTAATGTAGTGGCAACTGTAGTGCTCCTACTGATAAAAATAGTAATGACAGCTAATAACATTAATAATAATCATTATTAATTACAGTAAAACCGTCTGGTCCAGAGCGCCTCACTCTTTGAACCTTAGAAGTGTATCATGTGTTTTTCTATTTCTTAATTTTTCCATGATGAAACATTGTTGAATCAACAGTAAATCCTGCACCTGTCCTCAACACACACCCACCACTGGTCTATTTCTTTATCTTCACTACTCTTCCAGTTTGGTCACATCACAGTACAATTTCCCTGCGGGAGCCCGAGCTCCAGAGCGACTAAAGAATTGGTGCCTCTGCTTCACAGAGGGATTTAGAGGGAGAATCCACCCCTGAATCACAGCTGCTGCTCTGTGAGTCTCACAGCTAAACACACCACAGTACTGATGTCACAGCAGCTGTTTACTGCACTGTTTGTATTCAGTGTCAGAGATGATGAACCAAGTACACAGAGGGAGATAGTTTTAAAACACTTCACAGCTGTAAAGCTGACAGTGTCTTACCTGGTTTGTCCTCCTTCTCCTCATCCTCATCCTCACTGTCTGACACGATGGCCTTCTTCCTCTTCACTGCAAACACACACACAAATTAATCAAGTGCTGAAGGAATATTTCTAGATGCTTTATCAACCAGAACATCAACTGTTCTTATTGTCCTCTTAAATTAAAGATGAACTCTGTGGTGCAGCTACAGTCTCAGGTTTCAGCAGGAAGTCAGAGCTTTATTTCTGTACTATAATACCAATGAAATATGCTCCTACAAATGACAGAAGTCAGTTCATGATGTTGTTTTTAAAGCTGCATCCATGGAATGAATCCACTGTTAAAACAAAGAGATTGACTGATGGAGCTTAAAGTTATAATCTGTAACTTTTCATCATTAAAATGTATTGACTTGACTTGACATCATATCCTCTATGATCATGTGTCAGTGTGTTTATCTGACAGAAGCTCAACATTGACTTTTATCTACTCTTAAGCCACATACACTTTTTACACCGTATTCAGCTCTATATTTGAAACAGATGAAGGATTTTAGTCGTCGGATGTCTGGATCTGAAGTTATCAGAGAAACAAGCTGAGGAAATGTTAGACAGCTCAGCTCCCAGCTGCTGGAGACGTCCTGTCCTGTGTCACTGAAGAGCATCGGTGAATCTCTGAGTTTTAAAGGTGAACTGCTTTCTAGGTGTTTCTACTGGTTTTAAGAGGAGGACACCTCTGTGGATAATTCAGCTGCTGGTAAAAACCTGCTGAACGTCTGGTTCATAAGTTATCAGAGAAACAATCAGAACAAAGGTTAGCATCAATCTCAGCTCCAACTCTTCCCTGACGTCTCTCCTCTCTCTCCCTTCTGTCCATCCTCCGAATACACTAAATATACTAAAATCATTACATAATCAAACTACATCATTTAGTTTTGAAGCTATGTACTGATATTTATGTCATGAGCTGGTCTGAGGTCAGTACCTGGCTTCTCGTCGTCACTGTCGTCTCTCTGCTCCCTCTCTTCATCCTGCTGCTCTCCATCACTTCCTGCTGGAGCTTTCCTCCTTCCTCCTTCCTCCTCCTCACTGTCAGACTGCATCACAGCTTTCCATTTCCCTCCTGCTCCACGCTCCGCCTCCTCCTGCTGCTTCCCCTCCTCCTCCTCTTCAGAGTCTATCTGTGCCACCTTGCGTCTGGCAGGCGTCTCTGTGTCAGAGTCACTGTCAGCATTGGACCGGTTGGATGCCACAGGTTTGGCATCCTCGTTCTCTGAGTCGCTGTCTGCAGCCGCTTTGTGCCGTTCCTCCCCCTCCTCCATGTCCGAGCTGCTGCCCCTGCATCTGACAGGGGACGACCCTTCCCCCTCCTCGTTTCCTGAAGCTCCATGTTTGACCAGGGACTCCTCCTCATTGTCTGATCCGCTCATCCTGCGTTTGGCTGGAGAGTCGTCATCGCTGTCAGCGGGACGAGGAGCCTCTGTCTCCGAGTCACTCTTGTCGCCGTCGTTGTGGTGCCTGGGGGCCTCGCCCTCTGAGTCGCTGTTGACTCCTTGGTGGTCCTCGTTGTCAGAGCCGCTGGCTGCCCCGCTGGTCTCCATGGCATGGGGGGCATCCTCATCGTTGCTGCCCTCGTCCTGTTGAGACAAACGGTGGCAGGTCAGTTTGACAGAAACCAACAACCTGTGCCGAGGATCCAAATCACAACTTTCATGCAATTTGTTCATTATTTCAAGTTAATGTGGTTAAGATGAAAATAAATCAGGATTCTGACATCATCCTCAGCACTTCAGCAGCACCAACTAGGACTGAGAATGACCATCATACAGCTCTGCCCTCTCCTCTGAGCTCTGAGGGTCTGAGAATGTGGATATGAACCAGCAGCATGTTCTCAATAGTTTAATAAAAGTTTAATAATGAATCATATGTGTAAATGGGCCAGCATCTTTTAAAACAAGAAAAAACACAGTATAACACAGTTGATCTGAATGTTCATCACATTGTGGATATGACAGTTATTCATTTAAGGTTGTCATTAAATCTGGCTTCAGTTCACTACTTCAAGTATGGATCAGAGGTTCTGTGCAGGTACACACAATACACACAACAAGTTTGTCTTTTATAAATCTAAACTCCTACTACTACTCGTGTTTCAAGCCCTGTTTTGTGTGTACAAAACGGTCTGCATTTATCAAGCTGGTAAAAGTTTTGGACTCAAGTGAAAGATAAAAGTAAAAACTCTTAACTGATCCAGAATGAAACTATTAATCAAACAAACAAACAAACGTCAGTTGAGACTGAGAGCTGCAGAGTCCGTGAAGCTGGTTCAGATCCTCCACAACAGCAGCACACAAACTGAGCTGAGCAAGACCAAATTTTTCTGTCTAATACAAATAATATTACAGATTAATGAAGAAGAGTGGTTTTAGTTGATTACTTTCATTTGATCATTTGATAGTACAGTAAATCCACTTTCCTTTTTTTTTGGCCATTTGCAAACAAACAACAATAAATCTTTGAGCAGTGAAGACTCAGTCTGACCTCAGATTGGTGTCTGTCGCTCCTCATGTCTTCACCGTCTGACGCTGGGTGTTCATCCTGAACCGGAGTGCCGCCTCCGTCATCTGCAGAACATACAACAGATCAGAAACAACACAACACATCAGTATCTTAATCTTATTACAAAAGATTTGTTACTGATGTCAAACACAAACACCTGCAAAGAGGCAGGAGGTGGAAAATGTGGCTCCCTAATGAAAGAGCTGCTAGAATAAAGTCATTTTTTAAATGGTTTCTGAAAAGGACTTCAACTAGACATTTGGATAGTTTAACCTTCATCTGAGTTTTTTTTTTTTTTTTTTTTTTTTTAATTACAGTTAGGTCTGAACAGTTCTGCTAAACCAAGCCCACCCTTGTTATTGTTATGCTCTTGTTTTCCATGTGTATTGCCTCAGGCCTACAGAGGAACCCAACCAGACCTGAATCTGGCTCAGTCTATGGCAATTTAACGGGGTTTACGATTGGTTTCAGCTTCACTTTAAGGTACAAACCCTCATTAAAAACAGAAAGATTTCAGGATCCTTTCCAGTCTGCACACCAAGCTCCATGCACAAAACATGCATTTTAATGTCCACAGGTAATTACCAAGTAGAATACATTATATAATCTGAGAAACATAATGAGATATAATTTTTGAGATGTGTTTTTTTTCTGGGCATCCTAACGAGTCAGTACTTACACCTCAAAAAGCAAGAACAATCTTAGGATCTTCAAGAGTCTTCACGCCAAAACGCCATGTAAAAAATGATGCCTTTTTCAAAAGCACATGGTATAAAATAAAAGATACTGCTAAAATGTGGGGTGATATAATCTCTAAGATTTTCTTATTAATTCGGCACAGATATCGTTCAATATCAATAACATTACATTTAATTTCAGATTATTATTATGTGATGTCTATCATTGTAATCAACCAACACTGAAACAGAGTGAGCCTTCAAATCAGCACGATGCTAACCGAGAGGAGGCGACGGATCCAAATCATTATGAGATACAAACATCATCATTTATTAAGATATGTAAAGACAAATAGGATGGTGGGCTGTAACGTTGCCTGTCTGATGTTCATGAAGCTAAAACGGAACATTTCCTGGTTATTTAAATCCAACACTGCTGCTAATCCCTCATCACCATGCAGTTAAGAGGATAAACAACATTCCGTTACTAATTTTTACAAAGTTAAACTTAACCTAGGCCCCTCTACTCATGGGTCAACAGTCAATGTTAGTTAACGTGGGTTTGTTATTTAAATAGGAAACAAAGCAGGAGGACGGTTTTACCGGAGCGGCTCCCGGACATGAAGTCGTCCTCTTCTCCGTCCATGTCTCAGGCGAAGAAAGATTCAGATTCAGACCTGAACACGGAGACAACTCTCTGTTTACTCAACTTTACTATCGAAGCGGGAAAAATAAACCCGAACTAAGTAACGACGCGTTTCCAAAGCTAACAGCTACAGCTAACTACTGCAGCCTGAGACCCAAAATGGAGTAACTGCGTCATCTGCGCATGCGGTCGCTGCGTAATAGTGTAACAACTTTTTTGAATAACCTTTATTATCAATCTAGAGGTTTACAAGACAGAACATTAGTCCACATGCATTGGGCTCAGTTAATCAAAGAACTCACTGTCAAGTACAAGCCCACTTTAAAAATAATGATTTCAGGATTCTCTATGGTCTGCACGCCAAACTCATGAAAAAATATTAAATAACGTGAAAACATATTGAGATTTCATTTCTGAGACGTGTTTATCTTTTTTGTGGCACACATCCACTATATTCAGCTACAAATTCACACAGTATCACCACAAAGTGTGTAGTTCTCTTTAAAAACAGCAATACATTTGGATCTTCTAGAGTCTGCACGCCAAACCCTTTTAATAGTAATTATAAACAGCTGAGAAGTGAACGGGACTGAAATGTCAAATTATTCAAATACATAATAACTGATTGTACTTTACTGTCTTTGAGCGATTTGACTGTGAAACAGATTTTAGTTTCATTCTCTACTCTGTAGGAACCTGAACCAGTATTTCAATAAAGTTAAAAAACAAAAAACACAGTGACGTCTTTTATGCGCGACACTGTCCACAGAGGAACCACGCGTATCTCACGACCAGAATCCAGAGGCGCTGAATCCACGTTTAAAGCGAGTTCTCGGTCCATTTAAATTCGGAGTGATGGGGGACCGGAGCCGGCTGTGCTCCGTGTGGCTGGGATCGGAGACTGGCATCCTGAAGGGGGTCAGTGTGTCCCGGAAACAGGCCTTCAACTTTTGCAACACGAGCCATCTGAGCCGCGACCAGGAGGTCCGCGCTCTGTGCTGGGGGGACCCGGCGGAGAGCGAGCTGCTGGTTGGCTCGGTGGACGGAACAGTGAAGACCTTCAGCACCGAGAAGGGCGCCTTCACCGAGTCCCGGCGCTGTGGAGACCCGGTGGAGGGCTGCTTCACCGGGCTGGCTGCGCTCAGTGGCTCCGCGCTGCTCACCTGCGGGGAATCCGGGACTGTGCGGGTCTGGAGGGAGGACAGTAGCGAGCCCGTCACCGAGCTAGATGCCGGGAAGAACGTGTGCAGGATGCGACAGAGTCCGGTAGACCAGCACAAGGTCGCGACCGGCGGGAAGGAGAACGGGCTGAAGATCTGGGACCTGGAGAGACCCGAGAAGTCCGTGTTCACTGCAAAGAACCTGCGGGACGACTGGCTGGACCTACGGCGGCCGCACTGGGTCAGAGACATGGCCTTCATTCCGGACTCCGACAAAGTGGTCACCTGCACAGGCTATCACCAGGTGAGGCTTCACTGCACTGCTTACAGTGAGAAAAACGGGCTTTAAAATTGAGAGATTTTTAGGCCAGTTTTAAAATGTATGAGCTCAGGGCAATTTTCCCCCTGGACGATAAAGTTTTGATAACTTCACCTGTGATGTTTAAAGTCTTCTCTGCAGATTGGTACAATTCTAATACACCAATATTACAGGGACAGTCCGTAAACAAAATGTCAACAAAGGGTAGAATAGAATAGAGAGGGATAGAAACTGTCTGACAGGTCTTTTAATACAGGGACAAACAACATACGACAAGACCACCCTTGAAGTTATTTATGTGTTTAACTAGGTTGTTATCATTAACTGAAACGAAATAACGAAAACTACATATGAAAAAACATTTTCATTAACTGAAATAAAAATATAAACAAGGCTTTATAAAAGAACAATAACTAAGGGAAACTGTGTTGTGTGTTTACAAAAGTAAATCAAATTATAGAGAAAATGTCTTAAGTTTTTGTATCAGTTTATTTCATACACCAGCTGGTGTTTCAGTGTAGGATGGGGCAGTATTTTAAAACTATAGTTTAAAACTAAGCATTTTCAAAAAATAAAAACTAAACCAGACTACCAAACCTCCTTTCAAAGTCAAAATGAAATAAAAACAAAAACGAATGGAAAAATCCCTAAACTATTATGATCTTGATGTTTCCATCTGCAGCACATTTAAACAATACAAATGAAGCCTGGATAATCCAGCTGTATTTCAGGGGTTCCATCTCTTCAGTTACATTTGTGACTAATATCTCCAGTTGTCTCATGTTTTACATTTTAAGGACACATTAAGATCATCCTGCCTAAACTGGGCACTGAACTGTGGAGAGAGGTGTAATAAACATTTTTCCTCTTGTAATGAAAGTCTTGTGTAGCTGTGAAACTTGATGACGATGCAGGAAAACCATCACCATCAAATTTGATTGCATTAATTAGCACTAATTCTAATTCTACTAAAAGGGGACGACTGTGGCTCAGGAGGTAGAGCAGGTCGTCCACTAATTAGAAGGTCGGTGGTCTGATCCCCGGCTCCGCCGCACTGCATGTCACAGTTTCCTTGGGCAAGAAACTGAATCCCACTTTGCCCCTGATGGCTGTTCCATCAGTGTATGAATGTGTGAGTGAATGGGTGAATGTGGCAAGTACTGTAAAGCACTTTGAGTGGTCAGTAAGACTAGAAAAGTGCTGTATAAGTGCAAGTCCATTTACCATTTATTCTGATTTTATTTTACTTGTACCTGAGTTTTTTTCATTTTACAGTATTTAATATTTCTGCTCCACCACATTTATCTGACTTCAGTTTTTAATTAAAAGTGAAGCTTTATTTATAGATGAAACTACCAAACATTATGCAAAGCAACTGAATGAATCCACCTCCACCAGGTACAGCATTACATTACTTCTGTCAGTTACAGCATCAATAACTGATACAGTAATATGCTCATGTCACAGTGTGCTCTCTGGACCAGAGTTCAGTCATACCTCCTTCAAATGAGACCATGTCAGCTCTAGTCCCCTGCAGTCCTTCATCACTTTGTTGTGTCTGTCTGTCCTCTGTCAGGTCCACGTGTTCGACCCATCCTCCCCTCAGCGCCGTCCTGTCCTGGAGGCAGAGTACGGCGAGTACCCGCTCACCACTCTGTCCCTGCCCGCCGCCGGCAACACGGTGGTGGTGGGAAATACTCACGGCCAAATCGCCATGCTGGACCTGAGGAAAGGTCTGGTGCGCAGCTGTCTGAAGGGGCTGGCGGGGGGGGTGCGGTGGCTGCAGTGTCACCCCTCCCAGCCAGTGGTGGCATCCTGTGGCTTGGACCGCTTCCTCCGCATCCACAGCCTGGAGGACCGCAAGCTGCTTCACAAAGTCTACCTCAAGTCCAGACTCAACTGCCTCCTGCTGGCCAGCCGGGACCTGGAGGACGGAGGGGGGGCCACAGAGGGGGAGGGGGTGAGTCAAGAGGTGAAGGAGGAGGAGGACGAGGTGTGGGACACCATGGAGCAGGTGGGGGAGGCGGAGGAGAAGCCGAAGAGGAAAACAACAGAGGAGGAGGAAGAACCACAGAAGAAGAGCAAAAAGAAGAGAAAGAAAGGACAAGACTGAGGGGCATTTGAGAAGTTATCAGTGCGTGGGACATTTGAACATCTTTGTGGATCTGTTAGTTTGATCTGAGACTAAACTCTGATCTGTAGTCTTGTAATATTTTGTCTGGGAGCTTTATTAAAACAGACATATGAGGAATGATAATTTTAACAGTTGATACTCCTCTTCTTAAAACATCAATCAGATAAAAGATTTTATCTATCTATCTCTACCAAAAGTCAGGGACTGATGCACAAAACGCTTTGCACAGGTTGTGAAAACTGAAGTGCCCTCCATGTTGTCTACAGGTTGTGAACAGTTGTGTTTGTGTGCTCAGACCACAAAGACGTTTCATAGAATGTGTTTTAAAAAAACAAAAAATGTCGAGGTGAGTTCCACCTTTGTCACTCTATAAACTTGTATGTATATTGTATATTATCTACACATACAAATACAACAGTTAAACTCTGTACTGGGTTTCATTAGTATCATATTCTTCTAATAATGTCAATCAACTGTCTGTAAACTGGATAAAGTTTATACCACAGACACTGATGGTCCTTGGTTCTGATTAACCTTTAGTTTAACCAGACAGCTGTGATGCAGGTGTTACCACAGGTCAAAATACTCATTACTGGTAACAGCTGTGTTAATGAATAAACAACTGGATGGTTGTCACAACAATCTGCTGTGAAGCAAAGAGATCTTTGTGTGGCATACAGAGCCATCAGTGAGTTGATATACCTACATTATTATTTTTATTATTTACATGTTTAACATAATTTCCATTTAGTACAGCTCATGTTCAGAGTGTGGTTAAAATTGTCTGTGTTTTATGATAAGGAAAGGTTGGTTTATTGTTAAAATGCTCTAAATTAAATATTTTGAATAGCTGGTGCTGATGATAATAAGAATTATCTGTAAATCTCTGTAAATATTTATATTAGGTTATGTGAAATTGTGATGTAGGTCAAATAACAAAACAAAATTACTGAATCAGTGCAATTCATGTTTAACTTATTAATCTCCAGAAACAATGAAAAACAATAAACAAATTGTAATCTTTAAACACAGCGACCTGTGTACCACAGATTAAGCATACTGCTTTACCTTTAACTTCTGTAAAGAAGTAATTTGCAGTCCATTTCTTGTTGAAAACACGGCATTCGTTATCAACTTTTCTTTTCTTAGCGTGAGCTGACATCTTGAGGGTGACCGAGCGAGCATCACTTGTGACCGTTAACCTTCACCCGCGCACGCGCATATGTTCTTACAAAAGTAAAGTAACGCTTTTCAAAATAAAATTAACATTTTTAAATAAAAGTAAAAAAGACACGTTTATCTTATTTATGTTCTTCATAATTGGCCTCGCGGGCCGGACAGGGGCGTATAAAGGGCCGGATGTGGCCCGCGGGCCGTAATTTGCCCAGGTCTGACTAGCAGTATGTATCTAACTCCGACCAGCAGGAAGAGCGCGTTCGCTACACTGTGTTCGGGGACAAGGGAAGTCTCGCGTGAACACGTTCAGAGAACGAGAACACATACTTGAGGGTGAAATTACTGTGTGTGTGTGTGGCGAACGGTGATGGTAAAAGACATATGTTTGCTCTTTACAGGTAAGAAGGGAGAGTTAGAATTGTGTAAGTGAGGGGTGAATATGTTGTGTCGTAGTTTATGGTCCCGGTTGCGTTATATGTAGTATTGTTTATGAACGTTACTTGGTCAGCGAAAGTAACGTACCGAAAACGGCTGTTGGGACTGGTTGCTTAGTTACCTCAAGCGAGTCGGAGGATGGAGAGTAAAACTAGGAGCCGGTCTAAAGAGCCCGGACTGCTCGTGTCTAGTTCATAAATAAATACATAAATAACTTAAAATAGATACATGGTTGATTTGATTAATTTGACAATGTTTGGTATTGGCTGACTGTATTTGAAAAACAAGTTGATATTGAATGTACATGATGAAAATGGTCTGGAATAGCAATACAACGGACGTGATTTATTGTTTGGACGTTAGTGTAGATGTTCATCATTTTTCTGTGTTCGAATGTCAAACACGTTCAGAGAACGAGAACACATACTTGAGTGTGTAATTACTGTGTGTGTGTGTGTGGCGAACGGTGATGGTAAAAGACATATGTTTGCTCTTTACAGGACAAAATAAAACACTTTTCAAATTAAATGTGTAGTGGAGGGCAGCTTCACTCTGCACCACGCTACATTTGTCTTCAGTGTTAATGGTCTGAACAAAAATAACAAACCTACTGTCTCATAAAGCTACGGTGTAGAAGCTGATGTGAAGTCTATTTAAACAAGACAAGGATCATAATGTGCACAGTTCCATTAAGGAACACTAACGCTCCTTACAGAGCGGCAGCTTTAACGTCACTGCAGAGGACAGACTGTTGAAGATGAAACTGAAAATCAGGTACAGTTTGTTTTTCTGTCCTGCCCATGAGGATGTAGAGAATGAGCTTTTTATAAAAACGTCCTCTGTTTATGTTCATTTCTTCTGGCTGGATGGTGATGATGATGATGAGAAACTTGAGTTGTGCTTCAGGAGCAGCAGATTTTATTTCCTGAGCTGGAGAGAGGATGCAGAATATTTTATAATGTAATGAAATGAAATGTTTGACCATGAGCGTTAGGAACCTTGTGAGCAGGAAAAAATAAAAATACAATACATCAACACAAATAAATAAGTTAACAGAAACACAACTGTAGTGTGACCTGCACCCCTCCACTGTCTGAAGGTTGGAGCTACAGAGACTGAACTCTGACAGAAGCAACAGAGACTCATCAACATGTATTAAGACATTTTATTAAGCTGTAGCATCACATTAGTAACAGTGTGGAAGGAAATGTTTCCCTGAAGCTTCAGGACTTGACTGAATTGATGCAGTGTTTTCAGCAGGTTTTAATATTTTCCAATAAAACATGTTATGTAACAGCAGCAGTGTGGCAGTTGATTTCTGTCTTTACAGTCAGTTGGTCCACTTCAGTCCTAATTCATTCAAACATTTAGATTCAGTCTCAGACGTTTGTCTAGCTGTAAAATGTAACAGCAGCTACATTTAAAATCCCTTTCTGAGCACAGGTTAGAGAACACACATCAAATACAAGTTAAAACCTTCAGCTCCACCGACTGAAGAATGGGACTGTGTTTGAATCCTCAGTGGAAAATGTGGTGGAGCTTTGAAGGTACTTCACTCATTACAGTTATAATCCTTAAAACCATCATGAAATCAAACCCTGTTATTAATGTTATTATGGTCGATATTTTTTTCAGCAATATCCATTCATGTATTTATGCTCTGTAATGTCGTCTATATAGTAAAAGTACTGGACAAATGAAAACGTTGACCTGATGATGATTTCACTAAGAACCACATGCAAGCCTGACAGTGGAAAAGTCAGTGGGATTCATCCTTGAATGTTGACATGTTTCAGTCTGGTCCGACCAACAAGTGTGACCCTCCAGCTGCTTGGGGCGTTACTGTTGGACCTGGGCCTCGTCAACCACTGGAAACTGAACCCTGAAATAAGACGCTCCTACTGAGGTGGCCCAGCAGCTACATATATATCTTCTTATGGATCAAGACTTCAAATAAAACACAGAAGAAGAGGAAAATATGGAGCTTTAAATTAAACTGTGGTTAAATTTCTGTTATAAAGACCAAACGATTAATTAAGAAAATGTGCAGATGAAGTGATAATGAAAACAGACATTAGCTGCAGTCGTGGCTCCTCCTCTTCCTGAACACTGGTAACACTTTTCCAACCGCAGTAACTGTACATGAAGTAAACTATGTGCACTTACAGTGTCTTTATAAAGAGTATACTACATTATATTATGCTATCTTATGAGTTCAACACAGTTTTTAGACTCCAGCTGTCAGTAAACTCTACATGTTAAATGAAACCTGGTTTTGGAGCAGGACTCCACAGAGAGTCCGATGGGTTTATGTCATCCTGATCTTTTCAACACTGTCCTGGCTGTTCGCCACTTCTCCTGCTCCTCCTCCTCTTCTCCCTCTGCCCCCCTCATCCTCCTCGGCCTCCTCTCCCCCCCGGCTGAACTGCCGCCTGCTGAGTTTCTCCGGGTCATGTGAGGCCATGTCGCTGAAGTCACGGAAGATGTCCTGAAACGTCTCATCGTCTCCTGAGGAATTACACCATGTTTATAATCAGTGTGCAGCTGTTTACAGACTTTCGTCAAGGGTGACAGGTTAGAGGTCAAATTAAAGAACAGAAAAATGTTTGTGTGTTTCTGTATGTTGTTGGTGTGTGAGTCTACTCACCCACTGCTCCAAAAACTCCCTCTGAATCTCTCATCTCTTCATTCATCCTGGCCATCCGCAGTCTGAAACAACAACCAACAATCAATAATCACAATTAACTAATATCTCTATCAATAAACTCTACACTCTTCAATTCACCCTCTTTATTAGATTTATTAGATGAGACCAGAAACAGCAGTTGGACGGACGATCTGTTCTCAGATTTGTTCTACCAGTGTGACAGAAACTATAGAGTTTGTCCTGAGGGTGGTGTCAGAGAAAAGGTCCTGTTGTTATTTAGAAAGATCGACCTACAACCTCTAACGTTAAGGGCGTCTGCAGGATAGTTTGGAAGTTCATCACACAACTGTCCTGGAAATACTGGCAATACTGTTCAACAAAGAGAAGAACACACCTGCTGTGTTTCTCCACACTTCAGACCTCTGACTTCCACCAAGATATGACATTACAACTGTCATTAATATTCATGCAAACATGATGTGTAGTTTAAAGAACAGCTTTATGGAAACATTCAGTTACTTTTCTGGTTGTGGTTCTATTATTACAGAATAATTCCTCAAATGCCCACCAGCTCTGTTCACATGTGCACTTAGTCCTGGTTCTGATCTGGTTTTTGATCTAGTCCAAATTTTAATATCTCAAAAAAGTCCAGCCCAAAGGTCAGCTCCTCTGTCTCTATGAGACGAGATCAACACTGGGATATATTCATTTATAAAGCACTCTTGAATAAGTTAACAAATCACCTCACATCACTAATTGATCTCATTGTAGGTTCTGATCAAACCCACTCTCTCCACTGGATCACTCTGCATGTTCCTCTGGTGAACTCTGAACTTGGAAAGACTGCTTTTAGATTTTGTGCTCCAGACTTGTGGAATAACCTACAGCACACTTTAAATATCGATCCACTGAAAACTTTGGGACAGTCTAGAAATATGCTTTGAAATGTTTTAAATTGTAATGTTTCTCAGTGTAATTGTTCTAATCAGGAACTGATTCTGTTTTCTCATTGGTTGCTTTGTTTTCTCTCTGCTATTGTAATCTCGACATCATTGAAAATGAAGGTCACACCTCAACGTGTCTCTAAGAAAATAAATAAATAAAGGTTGATGATATTATTGTATTTTATCACATAAAAAGTTTCAATGTACAGTTAGTAAAGCAGGGGAATGAGGGTCGGAGAGCAGGGCAGACTGTACACAACTGCAAAAAATATGAAAAATATCACCTGTGTCAGGAAATATTGCAATATATCGGCCCAGTCTGTTGCATATGTAAACATCTTATCCCCAGTTCAGAAACCTGAAATGTCACTTCTTTACATTCAGTTGTGACTCACAGTGTGACAATGTCAGCGTGGGCTGTTTCCATGGCAATGGCCAATGGGTCCTGTCCTCTCTCGTCCACAGCGTACTGATTGGCTCCTCTTTTCAACAGCAGACACACCTGTCTACAGCAGCCAAAGAAAATCAGCTGTTTACTAGAGTTTAAACAGGTGTGTGTGTGTGTGTGTGTGTGTGTGTGTGTGTGTGTGTGATTACCCGGTGTGTCCAGCGGTGGCGGCAGAGTGCAGTGCTCCCCGTCCCCTCAGGTCTCGGTGGTTGACGTTGGCGCCATTCAGCAGCAGGAACTCACAGGCCAACAGCGACCCCTGCAGGCAGCACAGGAACACACACACTGACCACACACACTGAGCACAACAACAGGTACAGGAACAAGAGCTCAATGTAAACCTGTGCGATGGCTGTATCCTCCAGGACACCCCTGGGTCTCTATGTTCAGTAATAATCAGGGGCTCATTAAAAGAAGGAACTGAGATGTGAACACAGAACAGAGCTGGGTGGAGGTGTGTCAGCCCTGGACTGAATTTATTGGTGGAATTACAGTATGTACAGTTTTCAAGCCTCCTCACCCCGATAGCGGCTCCAATCAGCGCTGTTCGTCCCTCCTCCTCACCAATGCTGTTGTTGACCTCCGCCCCTACAGCCAACGCTGCTGCCATGGCAACCAGGTCTCCTGCCACTGCTGCCTGATACAGATGCAGCCCCGCTTCATCATTATGACGCTCTGGAACAGAACGAGACACTTCTGAACATTAAATCCACTAAACCCCTCTAAACCCCGGTAGGAGTTTCTTCTTCAAACCTTTTCACAGTTCAGTCACACAGACTAGAAAGACTGTCATTACTCATTAATCTGCCAATTATATTCTCCATTAATTTATCAATTGTTTAATGTACAAAATGTCTCTGTCTTGTTTTGTCTGACCAACAGTCAACAGGTGTTCACTTTACAATCATACAGAACAGCAAATCCTCTCGACAGAACAGCAATAACTAGTGAATGTTTGACATTTGCTTGAAAAATGACTCAAACTAATAATTATTCATTTCCAAATAGTTGCTTATTATTTTTTTCAAACAAATCAATCAATAAATCAAAAAACTGGTTCAGCTAAATCTTCCTGGAAACACAAAATTAAACATTACAGTTTCTTCTAACTGGCAGTTTGTTCTGTAAACTTAGCTACTTGTTACTTTAGGAATCAGGAGGATATGTGTGTTGAAGATGATGACAAACCTTTACATGGACAACATACAAGGCAAATTATCAGCTTTCTTCAGGAGAAATCAGGTTTATCTAATCCACTAAATCAATAGAAATGATCCTGAGGGGGCTGATATGTTGACAGTCGACAACTGAGGAGATATTTTTGTCCGGATCAAGGTGTCCCTATAGTTTATTATGATACACTCCAGCCCAAATATTGCGATATACAATATCTTTGATATTCAATTATATTATAGTACTTTATGTTTCAGTTGTTCTTTTTATAAAACATGATCATATTATTATATTTCATTTTTCAGATGTTTGTCATTACAATGTATATAATTGTATTATCAAATTTTATGTTTCAGGTATAAGCAATGCTGCCAATAAACTATCTCAAAGTTTTATTTGTCACATGCCAAGGTACAATGTAGCTGCTGTAAGCAAAGCAGTGAAATGAGGGTAGGACTCAGGAGGAGAACAAACTGTGCAAAACTGCAAAATCGTTTTTTTTTCTATATTGTGAAAAATATTGTGTATGATCTAGTGTTGCTACCTTTACTTTCCTCCTCCTTACAAAGGAGGCTTCAGGTGTGTGTTTGACTTACGAGCTCCATCTGAGCTGCTGCTCTGCACAAATCTCTTCTCCACATATTTCTCTTTGATCCACATCTCCTTCTCTGCTCTGAGGAGGAGAAACAGCTGCATCAGTTTAACAACAAGCTTCACTTAAAGGTTTTACTGATCTGCAGCCAAAAAACCCAAAGTCTTCATTTCATATTGACAGAGAAGCATGGCAGACTTTCATTTAAGCATTAAGTCCAACATTTGACATTTGGCTAAAAACATAAATCAATCAGACCCTGACACATTTAATGATATTAATCAGTTATGAAAATGACTACTGATTCATTTTCACTCACTTGATGAGGGATTCACTTCAGTAAAAAGACACAGTGTAGACTAGTGTAGTGCAGACAATTAGATATGAGGTTTTACCGTGGGCTGTCTGCTGTGGGTTTAACTCGTCCCTCCTCTGAACATCGAGCCTCGTAAATCCGGTTCATCACATTATTTCCCAAAACACACAGAAGCTAAAGAAGAAGAAGAAGAAGAAGAAAAAGAAGAAGACTGAAGCCGAATCATATCAACTCTCTCTGACCTCTCTTCTCTGTCTGTGGCTCTCAGCTCTGAGCTCAATGGTTCTTACTGAAGATGTAAATCTTAAAAAACACCTCACAAATATATTGTTTAAATTTTTAGTCTTAGTCATTTCCTCAATTAGCTGCTCACTGTAGTTTTTATCAAACAAACAGAAAGAAAAAACAGCGAATTTGTTGAGGACTATTTTCAACAGCAGATTAATCCTCATTTGGTGCTCTAGTGAATTTATTTAGATTTTTGGTAACTAGAGGAGAGAGAGCAACATCCCACTGACAGTGTCAATAACTAAATGGAGTCAGACAGTTTGTTAGTCATAAGTTTAAATTAAGTTGGTTTTATATTTTAATGTACATGATCATTTCTAACTATCTTATTTTCTCAGAATTATCATATTGAAAGAGAGCAAAAATGACACAATGATTGCTTCAATATGTCCAGTGTGTGTGTGTGAGTGTGTGTGTGTGTTACCTTCAACTGTTCGGCCTCCCATGAGTCCAGAGTGAGAGATCTCACCTTCGACAGGTGAACACCCAGGCTCCTACAAACATGACGACATCGTATTATCACAAATACTGCAGCATATCTATATTCTAAAATCACTTTAGACAAATAATATCATACAGTATATAATATATACTCTCTAGAAGATGGTGTCGTATAAAATATCAGATATTGTTATGATCCTGTGAAAATAAATTCCTGGCTGCGGAAACAGAACAGTGACTATTTGCTGTGACAGAGGATGAGAGACTGTTTGTCTGTAATGGAGGTCGGAGCTGCTGTGGACTGATGCGTCAGTAACACTGACACACCTCTGACGTCTCAGGTGTGACATTAAGACACGCCTCCTGCTGTGGTTACCTGTGTATGCCAGAACACTCGATGCACATGGTGACTCCCAGGTTGATGGAGGCCCAGCGTGGCTCCTCCTCCCCACAGTCACAGCACCGCTGGTTCCCAAGGCCCCTCAGGGCCATGCCCAGGGCTGCTGGCTTCTGAGTGGGGGGGCCCAGAGGGTTGTCCCCAACACACTGGAGAGAGGGCAGCTCTTTAGGCTGTTCACAGGTAAGGATGACAGTTGTAGATGTAAAAAGAGTGTGTTTATCCTGGAGACATCCAGACAGTGTTTATTAGAGATAAAAAAAAATGTCATGATTAATAAACACTTTATACTGAGGTCAAACTGAATGTGGTTAATCCTTCACTGAACAGGAGAACTGTGTGGACACAACTGTAAGTTTAGAATTGTGTGATGGATGAATCTGTGTAAGCTGGATGGTAATCATGTCTCAGATATGAACTTGGTGAGAACAATTATTACAGATAGAAAATACAGAATGAAAAAAATAAGAGTGGAGCTGTAATAAAGTAGGGGTGGGCGATACCACAAAATTTCTTTTTGATCCAATACCAAGCAATACAGGGCCAGAATCATTGATATCAATACTGATACTTTTTATTATCAAAAGCGGCTCATGTATTTTGATGTAGGGTAGAGCAGTGTTATAATTTATGAGGTAAAATGAAATCTTAATACATTTTAATGACCACCGAATGATTTACCAAAGGTCTGCAATAATTTCAAGGATGGTGGAATTTATACCTGTTACCTGTGAGACCTGGGTTTGACTGAACAGAAGCATGTGTAAAGCAAGTGAAGCAGAACAAAAAGTGGCTTCACTCATGCAAAGTTTTGTGAAAAAAAGGTAAATGGATGTCAGTACTCCTCTACTCCAGCCATCACTGCATTCATCTTTTATAGTTATTTTTTGGCCAATATTTTAATGTGATAGTGACAGTGAAAGAAAGAAATGAAAGCTGGAGAGAGAGAGAGAGAGAGAGAGAGAGAGAGAGAGAGAGAGAGACAGAAAGCGGGGATCACATGCAGGAAACAGCAAAGGCTGAACTTGAACCCGTGCCGCTGCGGTAATGACTGAACTTAAATGGTATGTGTTTAACCAGGTCTGCCACCAAGGAGCCCCACTGTTGCCTTTATGTGTCGGGATGGCATGAGTGTTGTGTGGTGCGGTACGCATTGGTTCATGTTTTAGAGTGCATGACATGACAACAGCAGTGGCAAAGAGTGGGATGAACTTATTTGTGTTCATGACAATGGAACATTGTTTGCACAGACAGTCCTACTCTGAAATGAGTCCAACATAGAAGACAGAAACTGATACTGGTTTTGATCCTATTGACGCTAAAATCTTTAAATCGATCTTTAAAACGAGACGTAGTATCAAAAGTCTCGATATTTTGGAATTGATCCTTCCACCCCTACTTAAAGCAGAGTTCTTCTGGAAGGTGAACCTGCCTGTGTGAGCGGCGTGCCGGCTCTCTCTCTGTAGGCGAGGTCGATGCTACCCTGCAGAGCACTGAGCCAGGCCTGCTTCAGCTGTTCCGAGTCAGCCTGCAGAGCACAGCACCTGGACACAAACATCACACCACAGGTTAGTCAGGTGCTTTTAAAGATTCACATCTTGTGTTTGGTTTGAGCCTGCGCAAGGGATTTACTGATGATAACACAAATACAGAATATCAGGCTCACACTTCACTGTTGTGTATTAGAATGTGAGAGTCTTACTTCTGGACGGAGAGCAGCTCGAAGCAGAAGCGTCGGTCGATGTGCTCCAGGGGTTTCACAGCACACAGTCTGAGATCCTCAAACAGAACCACGGCATTCTCCTGCAGCAGATCAGAGCGACAGCAGCAACTCACTCTACTCTTCCTCTCTATAGTGACAATTCATCAGCTGCTAATGGTTTTAGCACCATGACAACAACATCCAGCTGCTAAAATCCTGCAGCTGGATCTGATCAGAACAATGATACAATGTGCGTCCTCATGTGTAAATGATTTTAAATGTGTTTTATTTTAATTTTTTTCCTTTCAAAGCACTTTGTAATAGTTTTGAAAAGGAAACATTAACTGACATTATTATTATTTATCACTAAATAATAAAGATGTATGTGGAACATTCTGGGTGGAATCTGTTACTGTTTGATGAACAAGTCATAACTTAAATAAATGTTCAGTCTCACCTTGTGTGACTTCCTGTAAATGAGCTGGTTGTCTCTGATGGAGAACCAGCACCTAAAACAGTTTCAATCATCAAAATAGGTCTTGTTCATATACCAGTATTATCATGACCATTATTATAAGGCACGCACACATGCACGCACACATGCACGCACGCAGCCACACACACAGTTGTACATCAGTTGATCCACCATGTACCTCTTCCAGGTTTTGGATTTCCTCCTAGACCGCTTAAACAGGTAACCCTGGATGATGTCATCGCTCCCGGGACACGGGCTGACCATAGGCTCACCTGAAGCATCCTGAACACGAACACACACACACACACACACACACACACACACACACACACAGTAACTCTGAGCTGGTTTTTGATGTACACTGTGTTCACGCTGCAACAGTGACAAATTACGTTTACTCTAAGTCTTCAGAGTCAGACTATGGTTTAATGCATTTGTTGGGGACATTTTCTAATATACTGTTGATGCACATTATTCTCCCATGACAAGCTGCTCACAGGTGGAAATAAAGTAATTGTTGGATGTTGGTGAGACAGCTCTGGAAATATCAAAAATAAATAATCAATCAGAAATGTTCGGCAGCGCAGCAGCAGGGCTCATCCTGGAGACACCTACTACAGCAGGAACTTGTTTAGCTTGGCAAGTGTCTCTCTGTCTGTTTGTGCAAGTTACAGTCTACAACTTTACAGGTGTTTAGTTGAGATCAAAATCAAGTCCAAGTTCGTGGATGGGAACTGATGTAATAATGTAGTAATAACTAATGAGTACTGATGAATTGGAGCATCAACATGTTAACAGGTGTCACAGCTGCTGTGACCCCTTCACTAGTTGGTCTCTAGTGTTTTCTATTTTGAAGTTTAACTTGTAGTGACTTTACAAATATTCAGATTAATCTACGTCTGGTGAACTGACAGGTGAACTGACAGGTGATAAACCAGGTGATGAGGGTAATAAACAGCTGATCCTTACTCTCTGCTGCACCAGCAGGTGTTTGTTCTCCAGGTCTTTTCTTTCGGTTGCACAGTCTGCTGACAGCTGGGACAGCTGAGGGCGACAGAGGTAACAGCAGAACGTGAGAACACGAGGAGACATTCACTGATTCATTAATGATTATCTCATGACTGAAGACAGAGTGGGGTCAGAGTTCGGAGGTCAAGACCTGTGCTGCCATGCTCTTCATGGTGGGCTCCAGGTCTCTGAGCAGGTCGAAGCCTTGGTGGAAGAAGGTGAACTGAGCGTGTACGAAGGAGAAAACCTGATGACAGACAGAACGACACACGTCAGTGCTGTGACAGTGTAAAGCCCAGTCAGTGATCCCTGGAGTAGTGGTTACCAATCCGACGTAACCCCGCAGCCCCTTCAGATGAGTTCAAACACTACACCCCTTCATCGACGCCATTTGTTATGTTTAAAACAGTGTTCAGGTTGCTTTGGTCAAGTTTGCACTCACATTACACCAGAAGCTGCATGTTTAATCTATTTAATTGTTGCTTTTAGCTACTTCAACCATTAATCTATTACCTTTAGTTAATTATTTTAACTAATAATCCATACTTTAAGCTATATTTCAACTATTACTACTGACAATTTATCAGCTGTTTATTCATTATTGTCAGCTAACTGTTTTACACAATGTTGAAACATCCCTTTAAAATAACAACATACTGATTCAGTTTGTAAAATTAAACAGTTCAACTCACTGAGTTTAAGACGTCAACCTTCTGTTGAGTCTTGAAGGTGTTAAGCTGAAAAAGAAAAGCGTGTCAGTATCTCATATTCAAACATGAAAATAAAATATGCAGCACATCATCATCAGTTCACACCTGCTTTAAAATGCGTCTCCAGTGACCACTTGTGATCAGATTCCACTTCCTGTTTTATATGCAAATAAGCAGGTATTAGTTGTTGTTTTTAGCCAATCAGCCAGACGGGCCTGTGGTCAATGTGCTTGTGTGTGTGTGTGTGTGAATAAGTGAGAGCAAGAGAGACAGAGAAAGAGAGAGCAGGGCACGGAGGGGTTGAGCAAATTCATGCACGCAGGTCTTACAATGAAATAAAAGTTTGATCCATTCCAAACAGTAAAATATTTTGGTTCATTATAAACTGTGTTGGGACTAATCAGACTGTGTCAGAGGACGTCAGTGGAGTAGTTGGTCCTTCAATGTGGGCCGAGACACATTCACGTTCACACTGCTAAACGAATGTGGGCACATGTGGCCCAGACCTACTCTGAATGTGGTGTGAACAGGTGTGAGCAGGGCCTGTGTCGTACCTGCAGGCAGTAGTCCAGGGCGAAGTGTTGGTAGCATTTGCGTGTGGCGAGCAGCAGGTGACTTGCCCTCTCAGCATCACCGGCTTTGTGGCGAGACACCTGAGCATTTTTTACCGCTGCCGTTTCCAGATCCTCTCCGATCCGAACAAACTCCCTCCTGGTCTCTGCCAGCTGGGGGATGAACCTCAGACACACACACCACCGTCATCATCATCATCATAGACAGGCAACACTATCACAAAGAGACAAAATTACCACACAGACAAAATGTAGAAGTAATGTTTCTGTCCACAGCATCCAAGAGAAACATTCAAGATCTTTATGAATTAAATTTAAGACTTTCTAAAAACCTTCCAACACCAAGTGAATCCACTGCTTTTTAAGACTTTTCATGACCTGTGTGTGTGTGTGTGTGTGTGTGTGTGTGTGTGTGTGTGTGTATGTGTGTGTGTGTGTGTGAGTGTGAGTGAGAGAGACTTACTGTGTACAGAGGTTGGTCAGCTGTTGGCTGATCGCTCTCTGAGTCTGATCGAACAACATCTGAGGACAAGAGACAGACAGAGTTGAAACTATTACAGTTACTACCATGACTATAACTACAACTACCTCTACTGCTGCTGCTGTGAGGGAATCTGATTATTGTAAGAACAAAAGCTGAAGTTCTGAACTAAAGACAATAAACTCACACAACCTGAATGAAATAAGAAGCTTTATAAACACTACAAGTCCAAATTAAAAGTGAAGACACAACTAAAAATAAGTATTGGAATTATTAAACCTGACCTTAAATACATTTGGAATTTTCAACATGTTTATTGGTGTAGAGTTTGTATTGTCTCAACTAACTGTTATGAATATGTTATACACTTGAAAAGGAGAGAGTTCACATCTCATGAGGTCTATCTGACTGAAATGTTGCTTTTATAATCACAGGAAATGTTTAGCAGTGTTTGGATTATTTTTCTGAATAAAAGACAACAGATTGTTTAGTTTTTATTTCCAATTATCATCACAAAGTTTCCTTGTGTTTTTCTGAGCTATAATGATGAAATCAGAGCAAAGAAACTTAATGGTTATAGCCACAACTGACATTCATCATAAAAAATCTTGATCTGACGAATCACTGTTTTTGGACTAAAAACAATCATCAGTTGTAGCTTCTAACTCACAACAGTTTAAAGCAAGTGCAGAGGTAGAACACGAAAATAGGATATGCGTGTGTGTGTGTGTGTGTGTGTGTGTGTGTGTGTGTGTACTCACAGTGTGGAAGCTGACCATCTCCTGCAGTCCCTGGTTGAACTGGTTCAGACAGGTCTGAGGGGAAGGAAACAGGAAGTCAGTGAGAACCATGAAAACAAAAAGCTGAGATGCCGCTGCTCCGACACACAACTACAAGTTAGTGCAAGGCCTTTTCCACAGCAGGAACTCAACAACTCAACAACCTGTAACACAACAACATGAACCCACTGTCGCAGGTTCTGCTTTTGGTTCCTCTGTTCTCTACCAGCTCTGGGTACGAGGTCCTGAACCTAAACCTGGACTGCCGAGGAGACCATACTAAACCAATATTCAGGTAGTCCAGGAGAGATGAAACCAACACAGCATTAATAATGCGGGTTATGTGGTAATATACAGATGATACTCTGATTGTTACAGTGCCAAAGAAACTAAGAAAAAAACTGGAGGCCTTGTCTCATAATTATCACTGACTAACTGATAATTACGAGGAAAGATCTTTCAAATTATTATTATAACAAATAAGAATATTATTACAATTTTATAATTAGGAGATAATTATCTCCTAATATGATAATCTAAATATTATGGTATCATTTGGTAACAGCTATCAAAATTAAGTATGATAAAAACGTTAATGGTGACGGTCACCAATGGAGGTTGGGCAGGCCCAGAGTCTAGCAGGTTCACACCTTATTATCTGGGGAAGTACAACCAAAATCCCAATATTTTATTTCAGTGTTTTATAATCCAGACTGAGTCTACAGCCATGCCAGCAGCTCTGTGAGGCTGCCTGTAGGCACAGCGGTGATCCGAGCTAAATACTATCATCAGCGTCATATAACCTCCAGGCACAGCGATACCTGTATCAGTCCAATAATTGTTGAGATATTTCAGTTTGGACTACAGAGAGACGTGCTGCTGTCATGGATAAAAAGACGAGCCTGTCCTGTTGTTGTCTTTTTAATGACATATGTCTAAGTTCTTCAAAGTTGAAATGTGAAAATGCCTGAAAGTACTGTACTGTACTGTAATATGCTGTACTAGCATTAGAATTAGCATTGTGCTCCTTACAATGATGATGCTGTCCGTCTTCTGGTACATGGAGAGCTCAGCCAGACCGCTCAGGAACAGCTGATTGGCTGAACTGTACGCTTGTCCCGCCTCCACCATCTTACCGCACAGCTTCATCACCTAATCGGTCAGAGACACAGATTTTGGACCAATCAACAGACTTCACAGGTGAGCACCAGGTTTCCAGGTGTTGTTGTGCGATAGTAGGACTTACAGGTGCATCTCAATAAATTAGAATATCATGGAAAAGTTCATTTATTTCAGTAATTCAATTCAAAAAGTGAAACTCATCTTACATAGATTCATTACACACACAGTGAAATATTTCAAGCGTTTATTTCTTTTAATTTGATGATTATAGCTTACAGCTAATGAAAACCCAAAATTCAGTATCTCAGAAAATTAGAATATTGTGAAAAAGTTCAATATTGTAGACTCACGGTGTCACAGTCTAGTCAGCTAATTAACTCAAAACACCTGCAAAGGTTTCCTGAGCCTTTAAATGGTCTCAGTCTGGTTCAGTAGGCTACACAATCATGGGGAACACTGCTGACGGGACAGTTGTCCAGGAGACAGTCATTGACACCCTCCACAAAGAGGGTAAGCCACAAAAGGTCATTGCTAAAGAAGCTGGCTGTTCACAGAGTGCTGTATCCAAGCATATTCTTAGAAAGTTGAGTGGAAGGAAAAAGTGTGGTAGAAAAAGGTGCACCAGCAACAGGGATAACCGCAGCCTTGAGAGGATTGTGAAGCAAAGGCCATTCAAGAATTTGGGGGAGATTCACAAGGAGTGGACTGAGGCTGGAGTCAGTGCATCAAGAGCCACCATGCACAGATGTATCCAGGACATGGGCTACAACTGTCGCATTCCTCATGTCAAGCCACTCAGAGATGACATCAGAAGTGTCTTACCTGGGATAAGGAGAAAAAGGACTGGACTGTTGCTCAGTGGTCCAAAGTCCTCTTTTCAGATGAAAGTAAATTTTGCATTTCATTTGGAAATCAAGGTCCCAGAGTCTGGAGGAAGAATGGAGAGGCACAGAATCCAAGTTGCTTGAAGTCCAGTGTGAAGTTTCCACAGTCAGTGATGATTTGGGGAGCCATGTCATCTGCTGGTGTTGGTCCACTGTGTTTTATCAAGTCCAAAGTCAACGCAGCCGTCTATCAGGAAATTCCTTCTGCTGACAAGCTTTATGGAGATGCTGATTTCATTTTCCAGCAGGACTTGGCACCTGCCCATACTGCCAGAAGTACCAATACCATCACTGTGCTTGATTGGCCAGCAAACTCGCCTGACCTGAACCCCATAGAGAATCTATGGGGTATTGTTAAGAGGAAGATGAGAGACACCAGACCCAACAATGCAGACGAGCTGAAGTCTTATGTAATATTCTAATTTTCTGAGATACTGAATTTTGGGTTTTCATTAGCTGTAAGCCATAATCATCAATATTAAAAGAAATAAAGGCTTGAAATATTTCACTCTGTGTGAATGAATCCATATAATATATGAGTTTCACTTTTTGAATTGAATTACTGAAATAAATTAACTTTTCCACGATATTCTAATTTATTGAGATGCACCTGTACACTGATAAACAAAACAAGCAGCAGTAATAGTGACAGTAAAACTAATACTGGTAACAGTAGTAGCAGTGGTGGTTTTAGTAATAAGAGCATGGGTAGTAAAAGTAGTAGTAACAATAATGATAATAACAGCATTAATAATACAAATGGTAACAGTAGATATTGTAGTGGTAATAGTACTAATAGAAGCAGCAATGTATGTAAAGAGTAGTAGTAGTAGTAGCAGTAGTAGTAACTAGTAGTAGTGACAGTAGTAACAGTAACAGCTGTAGTGGTAAAAGTAGTAGTTAAAGTAAAAACAGTAGCAGTAATAATAGTAGTAATAAAACAATGTTAGTAATAGTAATTGTGGTAGTCGTAGTAACAATAACAGTATTGACAGTAGTAGTAGTAATAGTAGAAGTAGTTATACGGTAACAGTTGTAACAGTAATAGTTTTGTTTGGGTTGTTTGTTTAAATGTGTATTTAAATGTGTAATGTATATTATGTTGATATGATAACACATATGTAGATGATTGAAGCTATTTATTGAGTTTGAGGTTGTGCATGTTTGAAAATGTATTTACTATAAATACATGAAACACAAAAATAAAACCATTCACTCATTCATTCATTCAACAGTAGTAGTAGTAGTAACAGTATAAGTACTGGTAACAGTACCAATAGTAGTTGTAATGGTATCAGGTGTAATACTTGTAATAACTAGTTTAATAGCAGTGGTATTAGTAGGTACAGTAGTAGTAGTAACAGTATTAACAGCAGTAGTACTTTCAGTAGTAATAGAAAGTGAGGCAGTGTCAGTAATAGTTAGTAATACTTGCAGTATCCATAGTAGTAGTAATAGTACTAATAATCAACAGCAGCTGTAGTCACAATATTGGTAGTAGTTATAGTAGTAGTGGTACAAGAATAGTAGCAGTGGTGGTGCTGGCAGTAGTATCTGTAGTTGTAGTTACAGTAGTAGCAGTAACAGCATACGCAGTATTAGATTAGTAGTACTATTGGAAGCAATAGTAGCAATACTTCTAGTAGTATTAAATCAGCAGTAGTAGTATTAGGAACAGTTGTAGTAACAGAAGTAGTCGTAACAGTAAAAGCAGTAGCAGTATTAATATTGCTACTGTAATATACGCAAAAAGTAGTAGTAGCATTATTAAAAGTATTAGTAATATTAGTAGTATTAGCAGTAATAGCAGTATTAGAAGTATTAGTAGAATTAGTATTGGTATTAGCACTGGTAGTAGTACAAGCAGTAGCAGTATCAGGAGTAACAATAGTAGTAGTAGCTGTAGTATTAGAAGTAGTAATAGCTGTAGTCGTAGTATTAATAGTAATGTCAGTAGTATGAGTAGTAGTAGTAATCGTAGTAGTATTAGTAGTAGTAGTGGTGGTAATTGTAGTAGCATTAGTAGTAGTTGTACCTTGTCCAGGTGTGTCTCCAGCAGGGAAACTTCAGTCTCGAACTGATCCAGGTTCAATCTGAACAAAATAAATAAAACACCATCAGTACCAGTATCAGTAACATCACTAATGCACGTGCACGGACTGAAGATCCTCTGTGTGTGTGTGTGTGTGTGTGTTTACCTGAACTCAGGTGAGTCTTTGACACACTCCTCAAAATCCAGCAGTGAGTTCATGTTAGCTGACTGTTGCTGTCACTAAGTCCCCGTGTTAATAAACTTTATAAAAGCCTCTCCATTGTGACCGTTAGCCTGTTAGCTCTGCAGCAACAGCAGCGGCGGTGGATCTGCTCTCTCTCCGATGATTCATCTCTCTCCTCAGTTTAAACTTCGCCCGTGCATCGAGGAATCGGGAGAACGATCAGGCCCCGTGCACGCGTGCCTGCGTGCCGCGCATCAATAAATAATAAATAAATAAACCGCAGCTCGGTGAGTTTCAGCCTGACAGCTGTCCGAGCATCCTGCTGTTGTTGTTGTTGTTGCGAACCGACCGCTAAGTTCCGCCAAAGATCCGGCTCGGTTGGATCAGAGCCAACAACTGTAAACAGCGACATCGAGCGGCCTGGGGTGGTACTACAACTACATTACTAAAGGGATGTTGCAGTCGTTTACTCCCCAAGTTCATTATCAACTTGTCAACTTATTATATAATATATAATAAATTCACTATATCATTTCATTCATTATTATTATCACCCATTTATGGAAATCAATTCATCTTCAACAGCTATTTGAACCAAACCATTCACTTTATCATTATCATTACCCAATTGTCAATAAACCCATGAAGAAATGTAATATATGACATATATATCCAACATATATTAAATACTCCAGTAAGATTTGTATATGCACGATATGATGGTATATATAATGAATTTTTATATGTTGTAACTTGTTGCAAGCATGTATGTTAATTATATATATTTAATTTATATATGCAAGTTTATTAAAAACAACATACATGTAAGAATTCTATATGCTTATATATCTTAATTTCTCATTTATCTCAAACATTTCTATCTTCACATTCTGGGAAATCGGTCTCAGAGTTTTGGAAACAACTGTATATAATATCAACATATATTGACAAGGTTTGGGATGGATATATGTTTATGTAACATGTGTCTACAATATAAGCATACATACATACATACAAACTGTAAAAATTTTTGAATAGGTTTCATATATAATTTTTAAACGTGCTTTCATTTTTTATGTACATATATTTAATATATGTTGCAAATGTAATATATGTTCATATATTACATTTGCATAATGGAACGATGACACCAAAATTACTGCGAGTTTTTCAGGTTTACATGCAGTTTTCCTGCTGAATTAAATAAGATACATGTGATTGGTGTAATTTGCATCAAAGTCTCTCTCCATATAGTCATAACTCAGTCAAATCTGAACACACACATGAAACACATATTTCTAGATAGTATCACAGTGATCTAGTGATAGTTGTCTGGACATCCATGCCTACACTGCAAACATGAGCCGATCATAGATTATTCTGCAGATGTTTAATAGGGACAATTTGATGAAATGTAAACTAATACAGGCTAAAAAAACATGGGTCAAGTTGTAGCCCTCAGTATAACTCTCTTACATCCCCCAAAGCTTTATGTAAAGTGTAGTTCCAAAACTTAAAGCACGATTAACCCCCAAATAGAAGTCATCAGGTTAGGGACCACTGCTGTAGACCGTTTGCATGTCATATGGGACTGGGATACAGTAACTGTGGGAGGTTTTTTGTGAAAAGACTGTAGATCGCCACTTTATTTGTGTTAATCATACTGTGGAAAACTCAAATTACTTTCAGATAAAGTTATGTGATGTCAAGGAGGACAAACACAAACACTCTGATCATTAAATCACTTTCACAGCAAACGGTAAAGAAAAGGTTTTTATTTAAAAAAAAACAAAAAAACAATGAGGAGACATTAGATCAGCTGCATTTGAGTCAAACTGTTGCTGTGTACATGTGTTGTGATGATGATGATGACGATGATGATGATGTGTATATGTGTTCAGAAGCCAACAGAAACCAGGATCACGGTTACGTTGTCAGCACAGCCTCGTCTCACTGCCTCACTGGCCAGTTGTTGGCAGGCAGCTTCAAACCGCACCTCCTCCTCCGTCAGCCCCGCCCTCTGCTCCACACTCCCCTCCTGCAGGGGGAGAGGGGGGAGGAGAGTTAGGACAAACTACACACTAACAATAATGACACAAACATACAAACAATCACATTATGGAAGAATTCTAGTTAATTTCACCTCTGGTATCTCAGTGATAACAACACTGTTATTTACAGTAACGTTGTCACTTTCAGTCATTTATCTAAAGTAACAACTATAAATATTGCCTTAATGGATTTTGTCATTCTTATTATAAATCTTGTTTTACTTCTATCTGGGAGATAATCATGATCTACATTATGGAACTCCAGTTCCCATAATGCTCTGTGGGATGTAAGTAAGCTGCTACAGCATGGCTGGTGTTGTTTTCACTGTGTGTGTGTGTCAACATGGTAAATGTGGTCCTGGAGACACCTACTGTAATCTGGAGCTAGAAGTGTGAACTAGTGTGTCTGTGTGTGTGTTTTATCAAGAAATAGCTGTGCAAAACGCATGGGTGTGGTCCAATCATGACTAATGAGTATTCATTAATAATATAGTGATAACTACTCAGTACCTCTGGATTGGTATTTTTAACCAATTTTACCAATTTTATTTTATTTTGCCTATATTTGTGAACAATGTATCAAATTTTCCACACTAACAGCAGCTGGATTAGCTGTGATCAGCTCCTGTCTGCAGTGTATCATGATGTACAGACAGCTATCACTAGATTACTGTGATACTGAGGACAACTTAAAACCTTAGTATTCCCAGGCAAGTTCTGCAGTTATTAGGAGCATTGTTTTTCTATGATTTCTTGGATTTTCACACATTTATTCGCATTAGCGATAACATCTCGAGAGAGTGGCAAAGTGTAGCTCTAGCTACATTGAAATAAGGTGACAAAACAAATAATATGTAAAAAGAGAGAGAGAGGTAGTTGCACCTGCAATTTTGTAATAAACTGAGAGCACACAGCCACAATAAGTAGGGTACATCAAAATTAAAGCAGTTGGATGTATTAAAGTGAAATATTACAAGTTGTAATAAAGCATCAGCGAGACACCTGCAGGATGTTGAGGACGAATTTAACAGCTTCATCAGCAGAAAACACTTTGAACAAACCGTCACAGGCCAGAATGATGAACCTATGGAGAGAGAACAAATGTCAGCTGCAGCAGCTTCCTAACACAAAACTAAACACTTCAACATAACAAACGACATATAAAATGTTAATCAGTGGTTGTAGCTTCATATTTAACATTCAGACATGAGAGCGATACGAAGCTCTTATCAAGTCGCATTGACTGTCTGAGGTTCTGTAGTTCTATTCTTGCCTGTCATTAGCTGTGAGCTGACACCTCCTCAGGTCGGGGGATGAAATGACCCCACAGCGTTTGTACTGACCATCTCCAAAAGACCGAGACACCTCGAGGACACCCAGCACCCTGCCGTCCCTGTAATACACAGAAATAGTTATTATATAGATTATATAGATATTAGCTCAATTTATTTTTATAATCCATTTATCACTTAAGTTATGTTTTGTGTAAAGAATCTCTGATTCCAGCTTCTCAAATGTGAAAAGTAAAAAATGTTGGGGTGTGTATGTTGTGTACCTGACGGTACCTCCTGCTCTCTGGATCCTCATTCTCTCCTCATACATAGTTGGGTTGTGTTCTTTACTCAGAGCGAGAGTCACCAACCTCCTCTGTCCATCTGCTGCTGCTGCTGCTTCCAACCGGCACAACACCGCCTGGAGACAGACACAGAGAGATGTTACCATCACAGTCTGATGTCGTTCAGAGGGGGCAGATTTACAGCAACTAGATAAGCTCTAAACTATTTTAGAACTGTGCCTGCTGAAGAACAGACGCTACAATCCTGAAATGAGAGAAAGAGAGCGAGAGAGAGAGAGAGAGAGAGGGGACTGGAGACTCTCTGGTAAGTAGCCAAGCTTTGTCCAAAGGAGGTCAATGTGCTTTTTTGGAAAAAAAGTCTCCTTACCCTGCTGTCTCCCAGATTGGCCACGTATACTATGTCGTCCACCACCAGCACACAGGTGGCTGTGGAGCCGTCCTTCCACGCTGGTTTCCTGTTCACAACACACAGAGAAGAAACAGATGAGGCTGACTGCAGACACACCTACCAAATAACAAAGAACATAAAGCAGGAACTCCATGTAACACGTTTAATAGAGCCCACAGCATCAAAATTACAATATCAGTTTCCAGGAACAGTGTCACAGAGGTTATACTGTATATACAGTAAGTCTGTGGGATACTTTAACTTTAGACCTGTTTCCTTACATTTAGTGAAAATGTTCAAATTAAAAACATGTCAAATTATCTATGATCACTTCCAGTCTGCAGTGTATCATGGATGTTCAGACAACTATCACTGGATTACTGTGATACTGAAGAAAACATAAGAAAACATGATGATTCTCAGGCGCGTTTTGTAATTCTCACTGTACAGTTTTTGTTCTTCAGCTACAGGTGTTCTGTGAACTCAGTCTTACTGGCTGGAAGCTTTCTTCAGAAAGTCTTCATCTGTCTGTTTGAAAGTGTCCAGGAGACATTTCTTAATCAGCTTGTCCACATTCTCAGTATCTCCTGAAAGAAAACAGCACATTTTAACCATTAATGAGACAGCATGGCTCATTCTTCAGTCTCCCTCTGTCTTCAAGAGAACAATAACAACCAGGAAAACAGATTCCCTTCCTCCCAAACCAGGGATGAACTGGTCAAATGAAAAACCGGTTAACAATCTACCACAACAACATGCTGTGATAAACTGCCTCTTTAAAGCCATGAACCTGTGAACTCACCACTGGGGAACTTCTTGGACAGATTGTGATGGAGATGCTCTGCAGCAAATCGAGAGGCTCGAGCTCCACCATGACCATCAAATACAGCAAAGTACGATACACGAGTCCTGCAGGACACAAAGAGACAAATCAGAGAAACAGCATCCAACACATCCGTGCACACCTGTAGGTCTGCTCACAATCAAAATAGGCCAGGCAACAATCACTTTAGAAAACTTTTACAACCAGAGTGCATTTGGATGCAATCAATCTTTGTACAGATGAAAACAGACCACAGCAGGTGACTGTGTAGCTCTAGGTACCACTGCAGTGTTAACATTAACTTGTCGACCTATAGACCAGTTTGTAGTGGACATCACGTTCACATGTCTGCAGTTGTGAGCTGTGGCAGCAGAAAAAGAGTGAAGCAAGTAGAGTGAAATGAGTGAGATGTCTAAACTACTGATGGTCAAATCCTGATTTTATTTTATGTGATGTTGACTGACAAAATCATCAAACACATGAATTAAAGACAAAGACTGAGCTGTGATTTCAGCGGTATTTACGGTAAAATTATCATTCACAGAGGTAGTTAGAAGAGACAGACTATCTTTCTGTTTTGGCAACACTGCAGCTGTAAACACCCTCCTAATAGAACCTGTTTGCACCAGAAACTCCAACTCAGTGACAAGACATTCCAGATTATAAGGCTGGCCCTGCTGTTGAGGTCCAGCCAAAAAGTATGATTACTGCCTCATGGTTATATGTATCTCTTCAAATAATCAAATTTCAGGAAATATGGTCACAATCTCTCCTTCTGTTCCTGAGTTAGTGTTGAATAATAGCTAGAGATGTTTTTGTAGAACATTATGAAGTTGACCTTTGACCATTTGGATATAAATTGTCATTACTTCATCATATTATCATTGTAGACATTTGTGTAAAATTGTGTCATAATTAGTGTAATTCTTGAGTTATGGCAAAAATCGTGTTTTAGTGTCATAGTGACCTTGACCATTGACCACCAAATTCCAATCAGTTTGTATTTGAGTCCAAATGAATGTTTGTGCCAAATGTAATGAAAAAAACAGATATACACTGTATAGAATACTGAAGTTAAATGAAGATACTTATGGATAAAAGCTGTTAAACGGAAAGACTGATGAAATCTCCACTGTTTAGCACAAAAAAAAAGTGACAGTGACTTCTCAACTGATGACTCAAATCATCGACTTTCAGGCAGCAGCCCTACAGACATGAAGAGAAACAGACACAGTGCTGCATATTAAGTCATTCCCAGTCAACTGCCTTAAACTTTTAACAACTGACCTGCTTTCATTCATGATGCCTTTGTGTTATATATTAATGTTTTTGCACAGTCCAACAAAAGTCACTGTTCACTCTGTTAGGTTTGATGAATACCAAGGTAAATATGTGAAGTAATTCTACTGTATTTCAGGAAACTGTATTTACCATCATCATAACACAGTTTACTGTGCTTGGCCAGAAAAATTGTAGTGTGAAAATTTGACACCATCACATCACGAATTTAGCTCCTGAGATTATTTCCTCTGGTTCCTGGAACTTTTTGGTCTTAAACTGCTGGACAGTTGGTGAAGGTCTTACACTTGTCCTGGTAGAGCTGACAGACAGCTGCTCATGTCCGGCAGCAGAACATGAGCATCCTGCATCTCCTCCCGCTCACCACGCCTCGCTGCCACATAGCCTTTCAATACAGGAAGGCCTGACACACACACACACACACACACACACACACACACACACACACACACACACACACACACACACACACACACACACATACACATACACACATACACACATACACACACACACACACACACACACACACAGAGTAAGTTCTACTGTAATTTTTTACACAAACACTCATCATCTTTACTTGTTATATTTCCCTCCACTCAGGGTCTGAGGGCTTTAATTAGAGGAAGAGAAGCAAACAAACATTGTGGTGAAACAGCTGAAAACCTTCTTTACAAACTTTCTTGATCTCCCCTCGCTCCTCCTTATCTTCCTCTCTTTTATCAGTGCAAGACTCTGCATCTTCTCGTTTTCGTTTTATACTTTTCTCCTCCTTCTCTTCTTCTTCTTCTTCTTTGGTGGACTGTGGTCGAGCTGTGACCGGCGCAGCTGAAACTGGACCTGAGGAAGAATCAAACCAAACACAAAGTGATTGGCAGAGCTCAATGAGAGAAGATATAGTACTTAAAAGTACCAAATGGCTAATTTCTCTTTTAAAGCTCTTGATGTGGTAACATGTACCTAGAGCTAGTCTGCAATGGCAGGGATCAGGACACCTAGGCCCCGACCCAGCCTGCCATCCGGCTTACATCACGCCCCAACCCGATGCCTGTGCCTGCAGGTGATGGTTGCAAAGGTCACCAGACCCTCTCCGGTGAGCTCCCCTCCCAGGTCTGGTTCCAGGAGGGGGCTCCGGTTTCCCTGATCTGGGCCTGGTGACCCCTTTCATTTGATTGTCATTGAAGAGGAGGGGGTGTCTCCAGAAGAGGAAGCAGAGCTTGGCCCATGCTGGTTTCAGGAGGGGAGGAGAACTGCTATCTTGCCGACCAGTGGAAGAGTTGGAGACTTGGAGAGTTTGGGGACTCTGCATCCTCAAACTGACACTTGCCCTGAGATGCTGAAGGCTCCAGATATCGTAGGGCTGTCTTGGCTGACTTGCCTCTTCAATGTTGCATTGACGTTGGAATTAAAAATCCTGCACACTGTCTGATTTGTAATAAACTATTTATTTGCAACATTTTGGTGCTAGACCTGCATCAGGTAAAGAGGTTGGGGACAGTGCCTGTGGACTGGCAGACTGTGGTGGAGGTTTCCATTCTGAAAACAGGGGACCGAAGGGTGTGTTTGAATTATCGCAGGGAATTATTGATGCCGCTGCTTCAGAATCTTCTGAAATGTCATGAAGTTTCAATTACACGACTTTGCAGAGGGCTTTCAAGTTGAAGCAAAAATAATGCCCAACGAAAGGGAGAGAAGAGAAATAGGAGAAAAAGAAAGAAAGGAGAAACTAGATTGGAAAGATACAAAGGTTCACTAAACTCCGATGCTAATAATCATCAGCAAACTTAAATTATAGCTTAATGACTATATTTCTGAACCAGGACCTTCAGTATTTGTTCAGTACCAACATTGTAATGACTGTCATAATTACATAGTCATTAAATAAATAAATAAATAAATAATTATAACCTAGTGTACCTTTTGTATTCTAATAAATTAAATTATTTTGCTTGTTAATGTCTCCACATATCCCTTATTTAATGTTCCCTATTTTCATTGTGCCCCTTAAGTTCTTTAAGTGCTCATAATTTTTTCTACTTAGGAGCACAAATGGTAAAAAAAAACAAAAAAACACCTTAGTTATTGAGTCAGTTTTACTGACTCTAGTAAAGTGATGTGCATTTTTGAATAATTACTGAGATTTTACTGGCCAGACGATTAACTGAGAAAATACTTAATAATAAAAACAACAGTTAGATGCAGCCCTACCTTCTTTATATTTCTTTTTACACAACTTTTATTTTTAGGGGTGTTATTCAATGGTGAATTTAAGTACGTTTTTGACTCTCCTGTAAACCTTTAACCACATTTAGTCACTTTCAGGCTCCAGAGATTAAATGTGTCAAGTAGCATGAAACGGAAATACCAGTACTTCAAACTGCTGTTAAATCCAGTACTATGGTAAATGTACTTAGATACCTTTCTGTTCTAGTACCTGAATGTTATGTAATGTATAAAATCAACAGATAATGAAGGAATAACCAGAAGTAATAATCAGAAGTCTGAATATTAATAATGTTACTATGGAGAAATACATTTTCTATGTTTTCCGAATTTAATCCTATTTCTACGTTAGCCCATTCATAACACCCTTAACTTCCCCCGGTATTAAAGGAGAAATTTAACTAGTTGCTGGATGTCGGTTGTGGAACATTAACCGGTACTGTCAATAAAATGTAGCCGTTATTTGGTTTTCACTCACCGGAGGTCTGTGTGGGTTCTGGCAGGTCGTCAAACAGGTCCATTCTGTTAGCTCAGGAGCTAGCCAACAAGCTAACTACCAGCAGCTACCCACCTGCACCGGTACTCTTCAGAATCGGTGTTTGAGCTGACAGCGGGCGGATAAAAAATACCGGATTAAATGACTGGAAAGTTTCTTAAACCGAGTCAAAATGTACCGACAGTCAGTTGGTAAACACGTTAGATTACTCCAGCTGCACAAATGTTAACAGTTAGCTTGAGCGTTGAGGTTAGCGTCAAATTAATAATGTTGTCAAGTCATTTCCGGTCATACCCTTCAAAACAAAAGCCTAGGCCAAGTCGAGCAGCCATAGATATATCTGAAAATTAGATTTTAACAGTAAGAATTTAACAGTAGAATAAAAATTAGCGCAGCTACTTGTACAAGAGATATTAATACATAGTACCGGCTCTAATTGAATAAAAATACAAACAGACAAGTCTCCAGCCTTTATTTAAACAAACGGAGTTATTGAGCAGATCTGCAGTTTTCTGGCAATCATCTTTTGTTTGTAATCTGGGGACAGTAAGCAGATGTGTCCCAGACCACCTAAGAGGTCTGGACTCAGGACAGGAAGCAGACCTATCCAGTCCCAGACCACTTGAGAGGTCTGGGCTCGGAGCACATCAAAATTATGCTGCTCCTACCTCCCTGCTTACCTCCTTGCTTACTTTCCTTTCCTTCCCTCCTTGCTTCCCTTCGTTGGCCCTGGCCTCTTATTGGTTGTTGAGCTGCTCTGCTCCTATTGGTCGACAGCAGTATAAAAACAGAGGCCGGGTAATCTTTGGGGTTAGCTTGTCTGGAAACTTCCCATCACTTGGATGTCGGACAGTAATAGTGAACCTGAACCTCTCACAGACACCATGCATTTTGCCGGGGTTTAGTAACATCACACAAACAACCTGCTGATATTCATCTTTTTTTTTTAAGTGTCTGTCCCCTGATCGACTCAGACATGCGGCTGTCTCTGCTCTGCGTTTGGACGAGTTGGATTTTAACTCTTCAAACCGTAGCTCAGCATCATCCTCACCGCGAGGAGGGAGACGTGCAGCCTGGCCACCGCGAGGGGGTTCAGACCGGGTGGAGGAGGCAGAGCATCGTCAGACCGACCCCGCTGCGGCCGGACGCCAACAAGCCGGCGGCGGTGAGGGAACCCGAGGAGAAGGTCAGAGGAGGGCAGGCCAACGGCCGCAGGAGAGCACCTCTGACCGGGTGAGCACGATTATTTGTTTTTTACTCTGCAGCTGTTACATTGTTTTGTAACGTTACACCGGTTTTCATACATACTCCTCTGCTTGTTGAAGTCAAACAAACAGAGTGTTTGTGTGTGTGTTTATTAACCATTATTGGATTAGCTCTACAACAAAAGCTCAGTCATGTTTTAGTAAAATGGTCCAGCTCCTCTTGACACACTTTTTTTGTTTTTACAACTGATAATAAATCATTAAACTCTCAAACCCAAACACAGAGCTTCTTACAGTAAAAACGGCTCATTCATTCTGTTAGACAAATCAATACGTTTCCTGTAACTGTGGAATTATTCTAAAGTACAGTTGTCTTTTTTGAAATAACATTTTTCATCAATTATGCTGCAATCAAATGATCAACATGCCTTAAAACTGAATGAATGAATGAACAGGTGGTCATTATCAGAGGATTTGTTTTTAATTTGTAGTTGAAACATGTTGCCATGGTTTCTGAACTCAGAAAGTAAAACAGAATTATTTTAAGCTCACTGTGAGTGTCACATGAATTTGAATGTGTGTGATTGGATGTTTCTGGCCGAAATGCACCTCTGGAGTCGTAGTTGACTTCTTGCCTTCAGTTTTTATGTCCAAAGATGTCTCTTGTAGCTCTTGTAGGCCGAACTGAAATGAGATGGTCTGGTCTATGTAGAATTAATGCAGTTGCATCACAAAGCGCTGCTTCTGTCGCCTAGCAACCTTGATTGAAAACCCTTGTTTTTACTGTTGTACCATTAGCTGTTGAACTGAGCTGAAACCCAATACTTACATTTAACAGTGTGATCCTCAGGCTCTCTGTCAGTGTTGTTTGCTGCAATATTATTTTCAGTACCAGCATGCAATGAATCTTGGGAAAAGAAGGACACAGTTGCTGGAACCTTTGAAATAGACGCTGTCCTGCTGTAGTTATGACATGAGCAAAGGGAAAAGTGCAGTGACGTAGTATAAAGAGAAACAAAGTCCACGTCAGGAGGTTGTGGTGGATGGATGAATGTGACACAGAGCGGTGTTCGATTCCCATGTGAAAGTAGCTGTTTATGTTGTTTCTATTATCCATGACCATTAACCACATTGTTGTTATAGTAACCATGACAACTAAAATGGTCTATTGGTCAATTGTACAGTGAGCAGTGAATGAGTGAAGGAGGAGGTGATTTGACTGCAGCAGTAGAAAACATGATTCCTCAGAAACAAAGTGTGAACAGTTCAAACTGGTGTCAGAACATGAACCTGAAGAGCTGTTGCATTAACCTGTGTTTCTGTGGTCAAGATATTGTGTTTAAAGGAAAAATCAGAAAAAGAGAATCCAGACTGAGGATGACCAGTTGAGGAAGCAGCAGCTCTCTCTCTTCACAGCTGTGCAGATGTTTCAGTCTGGAAGATTCACAGATACAACCAAGTTCAGCTGAAGATGATTCTGTCTGTAGGTTACCTGATGTAACTGATGTAGTCCAAGTGTGTATGACCATAAAACATCCTACCAATCATCCTCTGCAGGTGTGTAGGACCGCAGACACCTCAGGAATGTGTGAAATTCTGTGTGTGTGTGTGTGTGTGTGTGTGTGTGTGTGTTGACTCTGCATCCATCACTTGACTGTCAGTCAGACTTGCACTTGAGGCCAGTCACACACACACACACACACACACACACACACACAAAGTTTATAAGGCCAGTCAGTTCACAGGGTTTAGGATTAGTTGCAGAGATCTCGATATGTTGTGTGTGTGTGTGTGCGTGTGTGTGTGTGTGTGTAAACAGAGCAGCTTTAAAGAGGTTATAAACAGGCATGTTTGTCTAAGTGTGTGAAAAGGGGAAAGAGTTCTTCTTGGCCCTGAGAGTCCTGTTAGACTGTTCACACACACACACACACACACACACACACACACACACACACACACACACACACACACACACTCAATCAAATATGTGGAGGTTTAACAGACGCTCACACTCAGTAAGTCTCTCCTTTGTCAGGCTCAGTAACAGACACAACTCTCTGTGTAATGCAATGATCACACAGTTGAATTAACACGTCTCTGAAACACACTCAATAAAAACTGAACATTAACCTTGATGAAGGAGGATTTACTGCAGGTCTGTTGGATAAGACTGACTTAGATGTTCTTCATAAACTGGTAACTGAATGTAATCTGAAATTTAAAACTATTGACTTACAACGGTAGAACAATTAATGACCTTATAGCTTGACTCACTTTGTGCAAAACTTAAAATATTCCACATGTAGAGAGAACAACACAGTAAATTAAGTGTTGATGTGAGAGATAATACTGATAACCATGATTATTTTGGTCACTATAATTCTGATACTAAATTTCAATACCATTTTGTGTCTAGTCTGGACCATGTATGTTCAAATCCTGATTTGACTGTGACATCATCTGACAAAATCACCTGACAAAATCACCAAATACACAAATGAAAGAAAAAGATGTGATTTGAGCTGTATTTACTGTAACATGATCACTCAGAGAGAAAGTTAGAAGAGACACAATATCTTTATTTAGTCTGTCACACAGAGCACAGCATCCTTCTGAGATCCACAATAGTCCTTATTTACTTCAACTCCAGAATGTAACAGACCTTTATTACAGGCAGGTCTTTATGTCTAACTCCCTCTGTTTGATATGTAGAGTTGGTCATAGTCGTTAATATGAAGCCTCATTACCAGTGACTACTCTCGCTCCCTCCCTCTCTCCTGCTCTCTTTGCTCGGTGTGTCTTATGTTTAGTTATTCCTCTGCCTCATTCAGTAATAATGATACATGTAATCAAATTAGTTTATTTGCTGTACTGGAGGTGAGGCTCAGTGTATTGGAAGTGCTCCTCCTCTTCCCTGCAGTTCCCAAGCAGCTGGGAAACCAGAGCGGCTTTGTAGAATGTGGCTCAGCACTCCACTGACCAGTGGTGGAAATATAGTCAGTCAGTCAGTCAGTCAGTCAGAGATTATAGGGCTGGCCTGGCTGTTGCGGTCCAACTCTTAGGTTGCCGACCTGGCAACCCAAGAGTTGTTCTTGTTAATGGCTTATAACTGTAAAGCATTAGTAACTAATTTATTAACTGTTAATACTTTTAATAATTGATGCCTTATCAAGAAGTGCTGTTACTTGTTTTAACTGTTTGATGTGTTGGTGAACTAAAGACAGTTTTCCATTCAGATGAACAGTAAAGTTGAATTCTATTTGATTCTGTTCTAAAAGCTGTGAGGAGATGAACTGAAGTTTTGAGCTGCTCAGACTTCAATCAGCGAGGAGCTCCTCACTTTGATGAAACAAAGGGTTTAAGTTGTTAAACATCTTCACAGTGTGGCTGGGGTTAAATCTCCTCCTCAGTTCTCTGTGTGTAGGACATGTGGAGACTCAGTGGGAGAGAAAACAGAAGATGAAAGGTGAAAGCTAACAGACGGCTCAATGTCCTCTCAGGGAGAAAAAGGAGAACATTTGAAGTTGTTGAGAGCATAGGAGCTGTGGTGGGAGAACATGGACTCCATGATGTTACTTGATGACTCTTTCTGTTGATGCTTGTATTTTACCTCACAGTGACTTTCAGTGAGTACAGCAGTAGAACAAAAGAGCATCTGTGAAATCACTAAAACCTGATATGAAGTGATGTCACTACATTTAAGAGACCGTACTGCAGGTTCTGCATGCTCTTATCAACCAGGACAAATTCCCTACCTCATATCCTCTGGATGATTTCCAAAATCTTCCATATTCCAAATCATCTCAATGAAAATCATTTTGCAGACTAGAAACTTGATGCAGATGTTAGCTCATCAGGCAGCACAGCTGTCCTTAAACTGACACTAATGTCAGTTTGACTAGTCACTGTTACTGAGGTGGGTAAGGGGCTGAGGGGTTTAGCAAAGAGACACTGAAGAGTTTGGAGGGTCAGCTCTTTTTTAAGTCTTTCCAAAAGCAAAAATTAATCTTCTGGTCGAACATACACCTGGGTCCTC